TATTCAGTCAGAAATGTTAAAATCCGAACCCGATCTTTTAAGCTTACAAGAAAGCTATTTACAAAAAATTCAACATGCTCACAATATCGATGAATCGGGCTACAGTCCATTAATACATTTTCCTTAGGGAACAGTATTAACGTTTTCTCACGCAGCCCGTCCCTTATTATTTTATATACTGCTTGCAAATTCAGGAACTATTTCCTTTTACGGAACTTCTTTCTTCCCCTACCGATTCCAAAAATACGCTTGCATTTCTTCTATAGTCTTAAACAATTAACTTACGTATGTTAGCGGAATGCGTGGCCGAATGGTTAGCGCACCTGCCTTTCAACCCAAGGGTTTTGAGTTCGAGCCCAGCTGGAGGAGCATTTTTTTTTTTTTTTTTTTTGCATATTTTGCATTTTTCTCCTTTTTTTCAACCCAAATGACACGGAAACACTTAAAAAGGTGGAAAGGCCTCTAATTGTTCTCTGAACAATTAGTTTACTAGTTATTATTTTTTTTTTTCTTCCCAGACTTTTGAAACCACAAGACTTATCAAAAAACTTTATAGTTCATGATACTGGACATTAAAAGTTATTTCGAAAAACGACCCCCCGTGTTTGACCCATGACCTCTTACGAAGTTATCCCCTTTCGCAAGAATAGCCTGTTATCGCTACTCCTTCGAAACCATAAACCATAGAGATACAGAACCTTCACCAATGTTTTCGACTACTCGAGAGGACTTTTCAATCTTTTCATTGCGAAACGATTTGTCGAGCCCTTTAATAAATTACTGCCCCTGAGAGTTTTTGATGTTTACAAATAATGACAAAATTCTCTAAACGATAAGTTGTAAAGACATGGGACCAACTGCATTAGATTTTGTGACCTCTGACCTTGAAATTTTTGTGAAGGTCAAAGGTCAAGGTCATTCAAAATATGAGAAAATTAGCTTTTTTAATATCTCTTTTGTCTTTCAACATATACTGAATATCTTTGCATCTATAATATGTCCTTCTAAAACTATTTCAAAGATTTCATTCTTGTCCCCCGAGCTTGACCCTAATCAAAAGTTGTCACCCCTTTTGCAACAAAACCTTGTTATCGCTACTCCTCCGAAACCGTAAACCGTAGAGATTCCAAACCTTCATCAGTGTCTTCGACTCATTTAGTACTCTCTTCATTCTATCATTGCAAAAGCATTCTTTGGTCCCTTGTATGAGTTACTGCCCCTGAAAGTTTACGCTACTTACATTTAATGAACTTATTTTTAAAACAGTGTATCCTAGAGACATGGGACCAACTGCATCGGCATATTTGACCTTTGACCTTGAAATATAGGTCAAGGTCAAAGGTCAAGGTCATTTAAAACCATAAGAAATCCCTTATATATGTGTAAAATATAGCAATTCACCAAATGACCTTGACCTTTGACCTTGACCTTTGACCTTGACATTGGGTCAAATAGAAAAGTTAGGACATGCATCCAGCTCCAGTATTAGGTAAAAATACAGAAAGTAAAGATTTTTTTTTTTTTTTTTTTGAATGACCTTGACCTTTGACCTTGAACCTTGACCTTTGACCTTGACTCAAAGGTCACAATAAGGCTTAAGGATGTGGAAGTAGTTACAATTCGTAGTTTAAGAGAGGCATAGAATAAATAATTCACCCTTCCCCCCCCCCTTCTTAAAAAAAAAAAAAATCACATCAACAACAATGTAGAATATTACTCTAGAATTCAAACCAGGCTTGGATCGACACCAAATTTGGTACAAATGTAGTATAGACCTCAGAAAAACTTTCTGGAGAGTTTTACAGTGAGTCTTGTAAGTTTGTAGAAGTCATGAAGTTTCATGGCAAAAACTACAAGTTCTGTTGTGTTTGAAATTGAAGTGCAGGTGAACGAAGGAATGATCTAAACCTTTTATCTGCTATTTCTTCAGATGTCGTTAGTAGCATTTAATTCTCCTGATATGATACGACATTTTAATACCAAGCATTCTCTCTTTCTTTTACATTTGGAATTTATTTGATTTTTATTTAGAATTAATCAGTTTCCAGAAAAAGCGATTTTCGGTAGACTAAAAACAATTCTCGCTTTCATTGTCATCTTTCCCTTCTAAAAATGCATGTTGGGAGTTTAATTTGTGATACACATATTTAATTTAACCCAAAGAAATGCTTATTTCAATGTTTCATAGTTATTTCAGGATATTCAGTCAGAAATGTTAAAATCCGAACCCGATCTTTTAAGCTTACAACAAAGCTATTTACAAAAAATTGAGCATGCTCACAATATCGATGAATCGGGCTACAGTCCATTAATACATTTTCATTAGGGAACAGTGTTAATGTTTTCTTACGCAGCCCGTCCCTTATTATTTAATATACTGCTTGCAAATTCAGGAACTATTTCCTTTTACGGAACTTCTTTCTTCCCCTACCGATTCTAAAAATACGCTTGCAATTATTCTATAGTCCTAAACATTTTAACATACTATTCTTATTGGAGTGCGTGGCCGAATGGTTAGCGCACCTGCCTTTCAACCCAGGGGTTTTGAGTTCGATCCCAGCTTGAGGAGCATTTATTTTTTTTTATTTTTTTTTTTTTTTGAATTTTTTGCAATTTTCTCCTTTTTTTCAACCCAAATGACATGGAAACACTTAAAAAGGTGGAAAGGCCTCTAATTGTTCTCTGAACAATTAGTCTCCTAGTTTAAGATATGCAAATTTTACACAATTTTCAATTTTTGGATACGAAGTGCACATGCGACACTCATCATATTTTAAGATATTAGTTTGCAGAGTATATCTAATTACTGAACAAAACTAGGTGAGTGTCCCTCATGCACTTCATATTCTAACTATCGATTTATAAATGCCACCCTCTTATATTTTCCCATTAGCCTAATGTTAAAGCATTTGAGGGTACATCTAAGAATGTGCCAACTACGGCGTGAATTCATCTCATATAAACTCTTGAAATATAAATAACAAAAATTAACATATATATCTTGAATTCTAAACCAATTTTGAAAAAATAAAACGAAATTTATTTTTATGAAAATAAGTGGGCCGATAAGCGGCCTTATCGAAACTTCCCCTTTAAAATTGCACAAAACCCACAAATGATATTTAGTGTCTTTTATGCTTTTAAAAGGTAAATGAAATAAATGTTGTCAAATTGCAGAAGTAGCTCCGCAGTATTCACAGTTGATAAGCATTGAATTTCTTTGTTTATAAATGCGTTATAATTTCAAATTGTTTATCCAGCTTTTGGATTTAATATACAATGTTCTTCCATCTTCTTTACAAAGCTCATCATGATGTGACCTAATCTTTACTAGACAGATGTAGTAACTCCCCAGTGAATTCAAACTGAAGTCCTCATTAGCTCTTCTGAGCCAAAGGCTCAAAGAGCTAATGCTATGGCCATTTGTGCGGTGTGCGTAAACTTTTTAGAATATGGGCCATAACTCAAGAACCCCTTGGCCAATTATTGTCAAATTTGTCACAGGGTATCCTTGGCCCAAGGGCTCCCTTTTATACTAAAACTGGGGTTGTGACCCTTTAACAAGGGGAGATAATTAGGAAAATAGAAACAAAAGTACTGGTTGCTAAAAAATCTTCTTCTCAAGAACCACTGGGCAGATTATCACCAAACTTACATAAAAGGATGAGGATATGTTGTAGATTAAAATTGCACGGGGATTTACCCTGGGGCAAAGGGCGTGGTCTCAAGGTCACTTCAAAGTTGACCAAAAATTACATTTTATTAAAATGTTGATATTTTGCTAACTATAAGGACTAGGATCATCAAATCTTGTCAGTTGGTGCATCTAAGGTCCTCATATCATGTTGACTCAAAAGTAGGTCACGTTGACCTACTTTTTAAATTTTGCAGCCATTCTTTTTCAAAATGATTTAGAGGCATATTTTGAACAATTTAAGGCCTATGATCATCAAACTTTGTCAGTTGATGCATCTTGGGTCCTCAAAGTACGTCAACTAAAAAGTAGGTCACCTTGACCTACTTTTTGAATTTTATGGCTAATCTTTTTTAAAACAATTAAGGTCATTAATTCGAATACGGGGAGGCTTAGAATCATTAAATCTTGTAAGATGATGCATCTTGGGGCCATAAAACATATTTATTAAAAAGTAGGTCACAGTGACCTACTTTTTGAACTTTGCAGGCATTCGATTTCAAAGCGTTTTAGAGGCATAATTTGGACATTTTAAGTCCTATGATCATAAAACTTTGTAAGTTGATGCATCTTGGGTCCTCAAAAAAGGTCAACTGAAAAGTAGGTCACCGTGACCTACTTTTCAATTTATATGACTATAATTCAATATTTCAGGTACTAATTGGCTTAGAATCATCAAACTTTGTCAGTTGATGCATCTTGGGTCTTCGGAGCAGGTCGACTAAAAAGTAGGTCACAGTGACCTACTTTTGAAAATTTATGGCTGTAATTAAATATTTTTGGTACTTATTGGCTAGAATCATCAAACTTTGTCAGTTGATGTATCTTTGGTCCTCGGAGTACAGCAGCAACTGAAAAGTAGGTCATGGTGACCTACTTTTGAAAATTTATGGCTTTAATTAAATATTACAGGTACTAATTGGCTTAGAATCATCAAACTTTGTCAGTTGGTGCATCTTGGGTCCTTGGAGTAAAACAATTGAAAAGTAGGTCACTTTGACCTACTTATAAACTTTTATGATTATAATTTTAAAAAATATTTTAGGTATTAATTGGCTTAGAATCGTCAAACTTAGTTGATGGGTCCTCAGAGAATGACAAGTGATAAGTAGGTCACCATGACCAACTCTCAGGTACTAATTGGCTTAGAATCATCTTGGGTTCTCAGAGTGTGAATTGGAATTTCAAGGGTTTATGTAAATATACAGGATACTTCGAGGCTTCAAATAGAAGTGATAGGTTGTACAGTTTATCAGAAGAGCGATTCAAGGCCCATGGGCCTCTTGTTTTCTTTTATTCCTGAAAGGTGTTCCCCAGCATTCTTTGAGGAGGAGAGGGCAGCTCTAGAGATCAGACGCAATAAAATCCGACTACTTCAACAGAGGAAGATGTCAGAACTCCAGACCTTTAAAGATCTCCCAGACGAAATCCCAATGCATCTTGTTATTGGCACCAAAGTCACTGGTAACTATACCATGCAATAGTAAAATGGTTTTTGTTGATAAGTATGATAAACTTTTCCTTGCATCATTTATCAAGTAAAGCGATATTGAGTGATTTAAAGTTCATAGTTAATCTTAATTTTTTTTAAATTTTTTAAATTGTTTTGTATTTTGTGTTTAACATCTTGAAGTAAAGTATGCTGGTCCTGTGTAAAAATTTCAGTGAGAAGTTTTTGTTCAAAATTTATATAGTGTGAACTTTAAAGAAACTTTGAAAGAGTATGAATATTGTTTTCAATATTGATTTTGATAATTTGACAGCACGTTTAAGAAAGCCACAGGATGGATTGTTTACTGGAGTAGTAGATGCCCTAGACACTGTGACAAACACTTACAGAATTACATTTGACAGACCAGGAATTGGTACACACTCCATCCCTGACTATGAAGTTCTGGTGAGAAATTACCTAGCTCTCTAAATACAAATCCAGATTTAGTGTCAGAGACAGTTGGATTTTGTGGGTTTGTTGAAGTAAAATTCAAAACATTTGTCATGCTTTTCTTGTTCAGAGGGTTTTGGTATTAGAGCTCCAAATATTTTGACTTTATTAGACCTTGTTGTCTCTTATAGAACATTTCTTTTTAAGTTTTTTTTCTTTTATTTATTCACACTACCAAAGTAACTATATTTACTGAAAGACATTTTGCTAAGTTTGCCATTTCTTATACAGAGTGTTGAACCTCAGGAGACAATCCCACTGTCAGCATTTCAACAGAAACACAGGCCGAGGCAGCCAAACTTGTTCTCACCACCAAAGTTTGTACCAAGTCTCGGATCTCCAAATCCAGAGCTGGTAAATTATCAGATCTCCCATCTTTAATTACCTATGTCAAAGGCTCAAATAAGCCTTTTTACCATTGAAGACTGTCTGGATTTGTGTGTTTGTTGTTTGAAAGCCTACAGGGCTGAGGGTGAAAAGAATGGGGGGAGGGGGCGTGAGAAATATGGGAGATGCAGGAAACATATTTTAAAATCTTTCATGTGGGGCCACAATTTATAGTCAAATTATTATGCAAGCATTCACATGGTGTGATCAAGTTGTATATGAATAATGATGGGATCTTAGTAGGGGGTAACTGTTCTTAAGGAAAGATTTTTCCTAAATTTCCAAAAGATTTTAGATAGTTTCCTCATAATAATTTGCAACTACATTTAGTGATTATCGGAATAAAATAATTCAATTACTCGGTGATTTAATTATATTACATTGATGTTTATTATGACTAAGGGTGATCTTGCTTTTAAAATATTATAAATGAAATTTTCTGTTTAAGATGGTTATGCAAGAAGCATATTCACATATTCAACATGATTGTGTCACACAAATGTTTTAGAACACAAGTCAATTTTTACTGAAATAAAAAATATATGAATTAGAAAATATTTAATTAGATATTATGACATGAGTTTTCTGTTGACAGGATAATGACCCTCTTCTGAGTGGTTCTACATTCACAGGTAAATTACTTAGTCTGGAGGGAGGCACATATGGAGGGTTCCCAATCAAGTTCCTAGTTCAAGTGGTAAGATTTATCTCTAGATCAGGTTTGTAGTTTCTGAAAATTTTAAAGCTAAAAGATTTAATTTATGTATGTATTTCTCTTGTAGACAAGACTGTCGAAAATCCTTTCACTGAAGAAAGATTGGATCTATCAGCTGAAGGATTTAAACACACAAGCAGAAAAAGCTGTAGGTGTTCAATTTTGTCATTATGTTGTAATTAATAAATTATCTACCCTTCTTAACTCTTCAAAACTTCTCCATCTTAAGTTTTATATCCAGAAGGAAATTTCATACTGTAATTTCTTTTTTACTTAATTGAAAGATATATCTGTAGGGCATGTCAAGCTTGAGTACATTTAAGCTTGAAACTCTGTGTTTTATCATCAGAAATCATTCCAGCAACCCATTACACAAGACTTTCAGAGAAAATACGCCACTACTGTCCTGGAACTGGAGCAACTCAACAAACAGCTAGGGGAGTGTCTAAACGTGGTCCAGACATACTGCAAGGAGGTAAAACATAGGACCCCAAAAATATACAATAAAAAATTGATAAGTAATTCATTGGAACTTTGAGACATTAAGCATTAAGTGATGACAAGTTGGTGCTTCAAGTTTGTTTTTATAGTGAATTGTAATCAGTCTAGTGTTGATAAAGTGGTATTTAATATATTGGTCGGAGAAGTCTTTTTTTTTTTTGCACTTTATAGCTGGCCCCAGACATGGGTATGACACCACTTGATGAACCCTCACAAATCAAAACAGGCTGTGATGAAGAAGCCGCAGAGATTGTCAACAGAATAAGTGTAAGGCTTGAAACAGTAATGTCAGTTTTTGTTTTTAAAAAATTCTAGCTCATTATGAAAATACACACTTTCCCATGCATTCATCATAAATCGGATACATGCAGTTCAAAATAAAAAGGAAATAGGTAGTGATTTTACTTTGGTCATTTTTAAGGTATCAATTACCTGTATTTCAAATTATAGTCAGGCTCTGTTGCATTTAATTTTGCAGGGGATGTTCCATAAGAGAACCTCCAAAAACCAGAGAGTTATGGATCTAATATCCAGTTTGACATCTCTTATGCTGCAAGTTAGGGTAGGTCAATAGTTCTGAATGACGTGGGCTGAGCATAAAATCTATGGTTAAAAAATTATTACTGATCAGTACACTAAGTAAATTAAAATTTGTTGACCAAATTACAAAGACTGAGTGTAGGATTTATGTTTAAAATTTTATTATTACTGGTCAGTTTGACTACATGTATATAGATGAAAGCTTGTTGGTTTAAGCAAAACATTTCAATGAAGACGAAAGTTACACGTTACATGTCCAGCAGACTTGTAGATGTGAATATGATTGTGTTTTGAGGTCTTTTTTTTTACAGTAATCTTTTAAAATTTGTAATTTTATTAATTTTGATGTTTTGTTTGTAAATTATTTTCAAAGAGTGAATAGCAGAATTATTTCTTCATTTACTATAAATATTTTATTTCAGACATTTTCTGAGCAAGAATTTAACTCATTTGAATTCAAGTGTTTACAAGATACCTTAAAAGAAATAAAGGATAAGTTGGATGGGAACAGTATAAAGTAAGTAAATATTAATCTTACATTTATATTTGTCCTACTTAAGGAAAACACTTTCTTTTATGGTCATTTTGCTTACCTGAGCCAAAGACTCCAGTGAGCTTTTCTTAACAAAATTTGTCTGTTGTCTATCATCGTCGTCTCTGTAAACTTTTTAGAATTAAATCTCCTTCTCCAGAACCACTGGGCCAATTTCAACCAAACTTGGCACAAAATATCCTTGGGTAAAGGGCGATTCAATTTTTTACAAATGAAGGGTCATGCCTCTTTTAAAGGGAGATAATAAAAAAAAGAGGCAAAAATGGGTTGGGAGTCATTTAAAAAGCATCTGATGAAGAATGCCTGGACCAGAAAAGATAAAATTTATGTGAAAGCTTCCTGATTGTAGTGTAGCTTCAAATTTGTCCAATCTTGGGCTAAGGAGGTACAGTAGGGTCACAATGAGGCATCAAATTTTTACATGAGAATATACAGGGAAATTCTTCTTAAGAAAGCAGTATCATGCTTAGTCATATTAATATGCAAGCATCCTTAAGTTTCAAATTTGTTTTAATTTTGGCCCCGGGGAATAGGGTTGGGCCACAGTTTTACTTGGGAATATATTGAGAAAAAGTCATTTAAAAGCTTCTTTTCATGAACAACCGGGCCATGATAAAGTTACCGGGGGTATGTTTATGGCCAAGCATCCTCAGGAAGTGCAGATTCAAATTTATTTCGATTTTGGCACTGGAGACAGGGTAGAGCCACAATAGGAGATCAAAGTTTTACATGGGAATATGTAGCGAAAAATATTTACAAATCTTCTTTTCATGAAAAACAGGACTGTGATTAGTAATGATAATAAGCAGGCATCCTCATGTACGTAGTACAATCAATTTTTTTCGAAATCATGGCCCTAGGAGAGGGGGGCCACAATAAGAGATCAATGCTTTATATTGGAAGAAATAGAATTTAATACAATTTGCTTGAAGAGTAACAAGTCCCACTCAATGGTAATAATGCGCAAACATCCCAAGTTTTGAGGATACAGTTTTTTTTTTTAATGATGGTCCATCAATTAAGGGTGGGGCTAAAACCTGGAATCTAGTGTTACTTAATGCATGTGTACAGGGGAAAATATTTTAAAATCTCCAGAACAGATGACCATGTTAGTCATATTGATGCTGAAGCATCTCCATGCTACATGGATTTAACATAATCCTTTGAGGATAGGGTAGGGCCACAATATGGAGTTAGTTTTTTTTTTTTTTTTTTCAAATGAATTGAGAGATTTGATAAAGAACAGCACATCCTGTTTGACACAGGTGAGCAGTATAACCCAGGGGCTTCTTTTTAAGTTAATCAGAAAATTTTGCCTTGCACAGATTGAAAAAAAAAATTCTAATCAAATCCTTGTGAATTACTGCCAATTTCCTTGACCTTGTTCATCTATATAACCTTTTGGGTTTTAAGCTACCAGTTCTTTTTTGATATGTATAAGCTTAGGCTATCTTTAAAATAATGTTTGTTTGCCCTCTTCTGACTCAGGGTAAAAAAAATTGGGTCGGTAGAAAGGTGGGAAATTTTTTTTCTTAGAAAATTTCAACATACATATTGAGGGGATGAGAAAAAATTAGGAATAAAAAGAAAAAATAAAAATAGTTTCCTGAGGTTAAAAAAAGATTTGAATCAAGCCATTTTTAGCCAGTTGGTCGGGAGAGGGCAAACAATTTTTAAAAGATGGGCTTACTTAGTTTCTCCTTGTGGAGTTATTGCCAAAACCCAAAACATGAAGGAAGTTATTTTGTGGAACTGCAGCACAGTCTTATTTTTATGACCTACACAAAATTTTCCATTTCAATACTGTTATTTTTTATTTGTTGCATTATTTTTGCTTAAAATCTGAAGTTCATATGTGTATATTCATATGTATTTTAAAAATACCCCTGTTAGAATTGTTCAGAAAGGGATATTAGTACCACTAAAACAACTTTGGGAAAATTAATTTGTAGAGTGTGATGAATTCTTCTTTAATTTTCAGTGCTTTCCAGAATAATGTGGAGATTCATATAAACCACATACAGAGTGGACTAAGTCAAATGGGGAACCTTCATGCTTTCTCTTCCTCCACCTACAAAGTTTGACCGGGTCAAAGGTCAGGACAAATTCCTGTTGTGACTGTAAATAACACCTTTGGGACACCTGCTCCGTTTTATGTGTATCCACAGATGTGGCTGTGTGCTATTGATAACGACAAGTCTTTTCATTAATGGCTTGACCCAGTTATGCATGATGACTTCTTGTTAAGATTATTATCTGAAAAAAAATTAAAGGAGTCATTTTTTAATACCTAAAGGGAAATTTGTATAGGGTATTTATGTACAGTTTGTGATCAAGTTCTTAAAAAAAATAGTAGATCTAAAATGAAATGGTTGTTAATGTGCAATATGAATAATGAAACATACATGTAGTAGTACATAAGATGCTTATCATGTTTAAATATCTATGAATTATATTTTATCTCAGTTACTGAATAGGGCAATTCAAACTGACCATGTAATATACTAGAATTAGCACCAAAATCAATAAAAATAATTATGCCATAATAATTTCTATATTTTTATTTGTATCATGGATACTACTACACTGAGGGAAAAAAACAGAAATTTAGTCTTTCTTCCTTTACATTACTTCCTATTTTATTTAATCAGTACAGGTGTGTGTGTCTTGATCCTGACTCACTAAATAGGAACACAGTCAAGGTTATGTGTTCTGAAAGTTTATTATTTATATCTGTATGGTCCAGAAATAACCAACAAGAAATATAGAGTACAATCAGTTTCAGCAGGAATAATGCGTATGTCTGGAGGATGTTCCTGACCCTGAATCACCAAAGGTCATATGAAGGTCACAATGTAAAAAAAGGGTTAATCTTGTTCACAATTTTTAAATTCACTATTTGGATATGTCTTGCAGAATGTATGTCCTATGATAGCCATAGTTTATTTTTCTGTCTTCATTACAACTGGCCTGAACTGGGTACATGTTTCACAAACACATCATACTGTACATGAAAGGTTATCTTATGGATTTGTTAAATAACTAACAAGTAATTGTTTAAAACAGTATTTAATCAGTTAATCAAGCCTAACTAAAACAGCATCTGTTTCACAATGTTTCCTTATCAACCATACAATAAAAGTCACTATATTTACAATATCTGTCGACATTATCCACAATACACAGCATACAATAACAGTCATTCCAACGTAACCCATACCAGCTGCACTCTGACGGTTGTCTTCTGCGCTCCGAAGGCGCCTCGTGTACGAAGTTAAATTTTTCTTGGGTAATAATAATTTGTCCCTGATTTTATTCAATAAATCGTCTATGTCTACTGTCACATGTGCAGATCTGTTAACATTATAAAGGATGCATGGTTTGCAGTTAACAGACATATAAGTCCTTCTGTCAACACAAACTGCCTTTATTTTGATGTTTTGAGTCTGATTTGACCAGTTTTGCTTCCCGTGTGTTGACAAACTACTATTTACTATCTGAATCCTGACAATTGAAGGGGTAACAGGGAATGTTTTAGTTGGTGAAGACCTTGTATTTTTAAAATTTTTCCCTGAAATAGATTGAAAAATATTGGATGTTGCAAGCGTTCTGGTTCCAACGTATGATGCATTATGAGAAACAGTCTTAGCAGCCATAGGTGCATTGTGGGTAACTATTTTAGTAAAAGATGATGCATTGTGGGTGCCATTTTTAGCAGCAGATGTTCTGTTTAATAAAACATTAGGATTTTGTGAAGTAAATTCATTCTTTGTTGATGTTAATGATCCTGTCACTATTTTTGTCAGAAGATCAGTGACTGTTGACAGTGAAGGTGCGTTAGTCGTTGTTCCGTTGATTAACTTAATAGCGCTGTTAGTGGAGGACTTCTGGATGCTATTCCTATCGATGGTTGTGTCCACTGTAGTCAAACCAGACGAAAAATCACCCATTGTTACCCCTTCTGTCGTCGTACCTACAGGAAATCGATAGCTTTACAAGTAATATAAATGACAAAATTAGAGGAATTGAAACTTTTGTCTGAGTAAGTCGTACTTGCTGGGTTCCACCTCCCAGTGATGAGCATTCTTTGGGCACTGATGTAATTTCCTCCTATAAACATTTTGTAAAAATAATGTTAACAAACTTTAATAAGCAACTTGTTTTATTCTTTGGGACACTATTTTGTGATGATTATCTGCCATTGGTGACCAAGATCAGATTTAAAAAGACTTGCTTGAGAATTTTTCCTTCTAATATAGTAAAGCAATACTGTATTACTTGTAGTATAAATTTTTTTGAAGTATTTTTCTTGCAAGCAAAGAAAAGTTCTTTCACGGTTCAGAGCGAATTGCAAATATATTTTATCAATATATGAATTTTTCATCTGAAGTATTAAATTACTACTTACCTGTGACGATAGGAATCGATATGTTCACTGTGAAAGGTATGGCACAGGTATGGGATAATCGTAGGCAGTATATCGGTAAGATATCGCTGTGGTCACTGAATTCCTGTTAAAATAATAACAGGAATTTTTATCCTTTCTTCATCTTTGACAGGAAAAAAATCTCTCATAAATATGATTTAAAATCCATTTTCTGTGTTGTACGATTTCTGGACCATGCATGCTTATTTTATTCTATACCGTGATTTCTCGGAAGTGTGCACAATTTGGCCATGGACTGTAATCAAGTTTTAATTTGGTCATGTTGCATGTAGGAGTCACCAGGAGAATTCTTTGGATTATATAAAGCGGTGGGACGGGAATCTGGGGGTCAGGTTTTAAGTCTGCTACCTTAAAAAAAATATGAAAATAAATTTTACAATCTGGAGACCTCTCACTATGATGGTTTTTTTTTTCTGAGGGATGGGTTTCCAACAAATAGCAAAGAGCATTTTTAATCTATCAATAACTGAAAAGTTACCGTTAAAATTTTCGCTTGTTGACTGACTGTGATCATGTGTTCATGGTATTTATAATTATGAGCAATGCTAGCTTCAACATCTGTGTCTGAAAAGAAAAAGATTGATTGATTGATTTTTGTTTTACGTCCCGTTCGAGAATTTTCACTCATAGAGAGACGTCACCGTATACCGATGAAGGGCTTCAAATTTAGATCTTTACTCGACACTCAGGGCCATTGAGCAGTGAGGGTTCTTTATCGTGTCAACGCCTTCCGTGAAGCGGGGCCTCGGTTTAAAGGTCTCATCCGAATGACCCGCAACTTTCACTCCAAAGTGCCAAGAGCGCTTGGCGAAGTTATAGTTGCTTCCTATTGTTTATCGACTTTGGTCAGTCGCTGCCGTGATTCGAGACACGACCTTCCGATCACGTACAGCGAGCGCTCTACCGACTGAGTTACGTGACGGTCGAAAAGAAAAAGAAATTTGAAAAAAAAAAAATAATCAGCTATGAAATTTTGGAAATTTTTAAATACTGGTCAGGTCACCCAAAGAGAATATGATTTCGGCAAAAAAGTAGTCTGCCCTTCAGTCTGATTTTATAATTGTTCAGCTAATTATATAGACAAAGGAATTAGAATAAAGGTTCCTCCTCTCCACCCATAAAGAGACGAAATACCAATGATTCTTAATAAAATTTTAAACATTATTTAAACATAAAAAATACTTACTATGAAATACAGTTAAATAAAATAGAAGTGGCTGTTAATCATTGAATACCTTGTAAAAAATAACCAGCAAAGATGTGTTGTTTGGTTGGACATCTTAGATCTGGAAAGTCACGACACGGGGGGCAAAGGTCACGGGGCACCAATCTGTATCTGTGGAATTGTCCGCAATGACACGCAGAGTTGAGCTTTAGAGGACGAAAATATGAAAATACAATGGTGCTACATACAATGGTGCTACATTTGAATACAATGGTGCTTCATTTAAATACAATGGTGCTACAAAGAAGTACAATGGTGCTACATATTAATACAACGGTACTTCATGTAAATAATGTCTGCAATGATACGCAGAGAAGCTTTATATGTAAAAGACGAAAATGCTATATGTAAATACAATGGTACAGCATGTTAAAGCAATGGTACTACATGTAAATACAATCATGGTGCCACGTTATAGGCATATGAATACAATGGTGTTACATATGAATCAGGCTCGTAGGAAGCAATTTCAGTTTGGGGGGCACAGGCATACATTTTAAGTAGGGGGGTTATTAACTACCAAAATTCCTTGACAAGCAAGAAAAGGTCATATCAGATGTTTTTATTGAGGGGGCACACACATATAGTAGCTATGTTTTCTATAGTAATCTATATATCGGCAAAATTATTGGGAGAGGGCACCCCCCCCCCTCCCCTCCGTGCCCCCGGTTCCTACGGTCATGTGAATATAATGGTGCTTAAAAGCGTCAATTAATATAATGGTGTATAATTTCTCTCTGGTGTGCATGGTTTAAAGTAAAATTCACTACATGTATTTGCACTTCTCATATATTAAAGATGAGAAAAAATTAAATAATTACCCCAATTGCCATATGTAAAATATTTTTGCTCTGACATTGTAAATGACAGTTTTGCAAAGACACATTCTTGTTGGAAGGCACATTCTCTGTAATGTTGTAGCATTCTGAATAGATGAAGGGATCTGAAAAATCGGCATGTACATATTTAATGTGATATGTATATATTTACATGTATTTAATAGCTCACTTCAAACAAAAAACTTGTATACGTACCTGTCACCAATTTGTAGGGTGTAGTTCTGCTTTGAGAGAACAAGAACTTGGGATATTCTGCTTTGGTCTTTAAGTCAAATCCCTCAAAAATGGCAAACCAGATACCACGCCTGTCTTTTACTTGTTTCCAATAAAAAGAACTACAAATGTCACATAGCCATTTCAGTTATTTGTCTGCTTATATCTCGTGCAGTTTTTAAAAAAGGAAACGGACCGAGACAAGTTTATCAAACCTGTTTCCTAGACTTTATGTACATGTATACTTGTCATATTTATTGCTTGTTTTTTGTTCTGATAAAATATTCTTTTCACCGAAAACAAATTGTACAATTGTGCGATTGCACAAGTAAGTCCTTCCAATTTATTTCATATCTTAGGACAACAGGCACTTAACGATACATATTTTTCTTACTATAAAAAATATAACCCCCAACCTAATAAATCTATTAGGTAAGGGGTTATATTTTTATAATAATGAAAAATATATAACATAAAGTGCCTTTGCTTAAGACCTCAGTCCGAAGATGTCTACCCAAAATCAAAGATTGTTCCAATCTTTAACACGACAAAGGTGTATTATAATGTATTGATAGATCCCATATCGTCCTTGTTATGTTGGAGCAACAGCAAAAGAGAAGAGCCCCCCCCTCCAAAAAAAAAAAACAGGGAACTTGAACGCGAGGGCAACATAGCAAGAAAAGCAACGCTGTTGCCATCCACACCCTCACACTAAGTCACTAGTTTCCCCCCTGCTTTGTGACCCTAGCTTTGATTTCCTCGAAATCAGGGACTTATAAACTAGTGTAAATAAGTCTCCGTCGAAAGGACAACAATTACATGTACTGGCATCTTGTAGCTCCTCCCAAGCTGACAACAAAAGAAGTATGACGGCATTGCTGTTTATTTAGGGGATGAACAGAAGTTCCATGTTAACATGGAAATTGAATGTCCCTATATGTACTTTTCAGATAAATATGAAAAAAAAACCCACTGGACATAGGCTAATATCGTTTTAATTAATATATTGTGGGTCTTAAAAATATATCAGATTCTTATGTGTTGATGCCGACTTACTAGAAAACTTAGGAAGATGGTATACATTGCAGAATGTATCTTTATTGGCCAAAATATCGATCTTTCAAAACATCTACCTAGAATAAAACGAACATTCTTACCTATGAAGCATTTCGTTACTCAGTTGATTGATGTTGTGCGAAGAAGTAAAATGGTTGCTTGTAAAACGAAATCCGGGCAGCAACGTTGGATTCTCAAACTTTATCCAGAGCAGCACATCTCCATACAGATTTAAAAACCTCAAAGTGATCTAAGAGATGGCCAAAGGCATAAAAAATCAAAGGCATTTTTTGTCAACATTTGTGAACAAAGACACGCGTGTATTTATCATTGTCTCTCGGAGAAATGCATCAATGTGTCGATTTAGTAATTTTTTATGACTTGCTTTTTTAATTTTTTGTTAAGGTCAGACGACACGTTCCTCAAAAATGTATTTTGTATACCTTGGTATTATATCAAAAATTGTACATAATTGTCACTCTCTTGTAATTTCTAAATTGTTTCAATATGTTTAAAAAAAAAATAAGTACACCAAAAATTGTGAATTTGGCAATTCAAAAGATTACCCATAAGGATTATGTAAGAAATATCACCCTCTGGTATCTTGCCCAAATGCCTGGTAAGGTACCTCAATTTTTGGTGAGGAAACTTGTTTAGGAAGTTAAACTTCAATGACAAATTCTTGGGAAAAATTATATATTTTCTAGGAACGTGTCGTCTGACCTTAATTTGTTAAAAATAATGATTCCGTATCTAGGTCTTACAGTGTCGGGAGGATTCCGGTAAACCTCCTTCAGTAACATGCTTTTGTAGTTTTTCTTCAACAGCTCACTGATATTTCTGGTGTTTAGAGGAGAACTGTAATGGTTGTCCGAGAGAAAAGTCTCCATTGATGTTCCGTCCTCTGCCTGTTTTACCAAGAGAATAGTTTCCTCATTCTCCAAACCGGAGAGAATTTGTGGACTGCATAAGTCTAAAACCAATAATGAAGCACAAAAAAAAATTACTATTAATTTTTCTTTTCAATTATTAATGAAAACAAGAAACAAGTTTTTTTTTCATTTATCGAATGTTCCGAGTAACTAGCATTCCAACAGATTAGCTAAACTTGGTGTAAATCAAAAAAAAATCACATACACGTTTGAAATACTCAGTACATGCATGTGATAATCAGATTTTACTACATGCTGTATCAGTTCTTGAATTTCAATAACTTGATCTTTTGAAATATTATCACTTCCTTGTCCTCTTACAAAATCGTAGATATAAAATATACTTACCTATCGAATTCGTTACTGCTAAGAGTATAGACAATACCCTCTCACATAGCATTCTGTTGTATTTTCTTTATATTTTCTTTTTTCAAACAAGTAATCAAGGTGTTGTCTGTTGCTTTTTTCACGAATATACGTCAAAGAGAAGTTTAAATAAGATTCTTTTCTTTTCATGAACTCTGCTTAATAACCCCGTAATGTTAACATGCATGTTTTCAGTGAATATCTTAAATACTGAATGAAACATAATCGCTATAGAGAGTATTCTTTTGTTATCGATAAAACTTATTTGAATTTTAAAGGAAAAACAACGGATATTAAATTCATGAAAAAATTATTACAGATCCGTTAGATTACAGTTTCGTCAGGTCACATAGCGATTCTGTGTCAAATTGCTGAAAATCCAACGACTGAATTGATCATTTTCTCCATGTTATTTAATCTCCAGCAGTAAAAGATATTAATTAATATGATAAAATTAATAAAGGGATTCCATCGGGATTATACAAAATCGACAGGTAAACGATCACTGTAGTGACAATGTCAAATATGCTTATCGCCCCCGGCTCTTTGCTTTGTCGAAGAACCTTTTCGAAAGATAAAGTTAGGCCAAAGTAATATTTTTCTTGGTTTATGTCAAGGTGATAATACAGATATACTAAGTTTAAACGTACTGTGTTTTAAAGCACAAAGATCAAGATAGTATAGATTATTAACAGAGCAGCAAAGCCATGTTAAGTCATATTGATTTAAGGAATAACTGTCTAATTTTTTGGTTTCATGATGTGATCAATTGATTGGCTTGCGTGAAAATTTGCATAAACGCATTTTTATGCATAAAATTATCACGCAAGCCAATCGATTGATCATCGCCATGAAACCAAAAAATCTGACAGTTATTCCATATATTTACATGCTCTTGATTCTGCAAATTCACGTGCTACAAGTCCCGCTTCTGTCTCTATTTGTCCCGCCCCGCACGTGATTTTTTTTTCACCACGCCTATCGATGAACCAGTAGATTTATGTAGAAATAAAGTATTTTTACTATTTGAAATTTTATCTCGGACAAAGACATTGGAAATGTAAATATATGGAAGCATCCTCAGGTAGTGTAAAATTCAAGCCCCCCCCCCTTTTCAATACTGAACTGATTTGTGCTTTATTCCTAGCCAATGTGCTCAGGTAATCGATGTGGCCCATGGTACAAATAAATTCGATGGCAAATTTGCTACTGAAAACCCTCCCCTTCCATAATTGGCATATGAAATCAAGCTCAAAAGTCCATTGAAACAAAACAAATTTGGAGCAAAGCAAACACAGACCTCTAAAAACATCAGTGATGGGATCAAGTGCAATTGAGGAGTAAGCATCCCCTGTCGATCGTTTACACCCGCCTTGTTCTCCTCGTCATGATCGGCCAAACAGAAAAATCGGTATAGACATGCAATTCAGTGTGTAAATAATGGTCTAACAATTTGTATGAAAACGTCAGTCAACATTCGACTTAATGATAGATTGTAATTGCTGACAAGGTCATTGTATCGACCATAGAATTTACGAAATGTTGACTTTAAACGAGATTGTTGATATTCTTATTTTATCAACTTATTTGTCAATAGCTTGTCTCGTTTAAGAAATTGTTCTTTTGTAGAGTATGCTCTTGAGTATCGAATCAATTGGGAGACATAATCCATATACAGGATAAAAATTTTGTAGATTTCTTTTTTTAAATTGGGTAATTCACCAGTAATGGTAAACACAAACTGATATCTACACATTGAAAGATTGAGTGATTGTTGTTTTACGTCTCGAAATGAATGGAGACATATAATTACTTTTTAGGTTTGTTCGTGACTGTCTACGGATTGATCAATTGCATTATACGGCGAGACGAAGTTTTCTGTTTTGTTCAGGACCAATACATGTAACAGTAATCTACAATCCATGGTTCAATTTACAATTAAAAGATTTTCTCGCCTGTGCAAATCTCTTGTTGTGAACTGAAAAGGGGCGCTACTCTAAATTTAATCGCAGCATGCCAAATAGGTAATAATGTGAATATATCGGTTTCTTTGAGAAGCAAAGACGCTAGCATTTTTGGTTATTGTTCATACAGATAACATGACGTCGTTTTATCCCCATATTGCCGTCTACTGAGTATTTTGTGACTGCCTACAGAAATATAGACGGCAGGCAAGTGACAACCGTTATCCAATGACAGCGCGTCATTTTAGTCCGAAGCAAAACATATATATCAGGATTTCTCTGTTTATTCGTCATTTTCTTTGTACTCATAAGTTTGGCAGACTTTATATATGCCTTACCCAACACAATTAATATACTGTATATTTCAATCATTTTTTATACTTCTTAGTTGAAGTGATTGGGCCTTAATCAAAAGTAAAATACATTTTATTTGAAGGTAAATGTCTCTGTGGCTGTTGGACAAAAAATATCCAGCCAGCCATTATCTTGAGAAATAGATTTATACTTCTAGAACTTCATGACCTTGATCTCAGTCTTACCTTAAAGGTCAAGGTCAGTAAAGAAGTTAAAAAAAACGTTTTTTGCCCTGTATTTTTAAAACCATGTTAGAAAATTATTTGATACTTTGTAAAATTATCTCATTTGCCTTGGACTTTATATATCAGAGATCAAGGTCACTGTATTGGTTAATAATAATCATTTTTGAAGTCCATTCCTCTGAAGAAATGACAGAAAATTAATTAAATTCATTATTGTAATACATGTACTTCAAACAAAGTAAATAAATTATTGTTTCTGCATTTAGGAGGTGGAAATGACAAGAATGTAATAGCTGTTAAGCTAAGCCTTATTCATGTTTACCACAGTGCTTGAATCAGGGAACAGATGTTCATATTTTACTCAAAAGTTGTTGTATTTTCATCTTAAACATGTCCAAGGGCAAGTTCATTGTAGCAGTTGAGTTTCTTTTATTATGATTTTTCTAAAACCCTCTAGGTTAAATTTAAAAGGTATTTATTCAATATCTACTTCTGCATTTTTAAGGGAGGGGTCTGTGTTTTTGTTCCGTTTTAGACTTTTATTCAATTTTTTTCTTTTAAGGTAGCTGAACACATCAAAACATAATAAAATGGATCTATAAAGGATCTCTTCTGAATAAATATGATTTCACCATTGAAAGACTGATACAATTATTACTTTATTTATATTAAATATTATTACTCCTCCAAACTGTAAACTACGTATAACTATGAAAATTTAATTTTTCTATCTTTTCAGCATTTTGGGTTTTTTTCTTTATGAAATTTAGCTGTAGAAAGTTAAAAATGAAAAAATACAATAACAAGAAAGGTGGAAAGACCTCTAATTGTTCGAGAACAATTAGTCTACTAGTTTTATTTGATTTTTTTTTTATGGAAAAATTGCCTTTGTTACAAAAAGCATATTTTAAGAGCTTTAATTGGTAGTATTCTCTGTCATCTATTCATGTTTGTGTTCCATCTAATCTGTGAGGCTCCTCGGGTTTAACAAAACCCTCTATACACATCAAAACACAACAGCACTGAACAGCTCCATGTGTATTAGTTTACTGAATCATTTATCCAGTTCACATTTTAAAAATCAAACAAACATTTTAAAAATAAAAATAACCTTATAGGCTACAGTGGAACACACAAACATGTAACATTAATAGCTTATTACATATTACATAAACATCTACACATTTCCAAGTTTAGGAGGTATAATTCAGTGCAGAATTTGTTCCCCTTTTGTACTGCATTGAAAACTTCCTGGTAAAACACTTGGAAATAATGAACACTGACTTCTTTTTCAGCAGTCTATAATAACGCCTAACACAGTTACATCTGTTTTGTTAAATATAGTAAATATATGTTTTAAATATTGTTAGAGTCTAAATTTTCAAGATGTTAAATAATAATCAATACCTGCTTTAAGTACTTGTATGTACAAAATGTACATTCAAAATTTTGGATGAACAATATTTACGTAAAAGACATTGTAAATATGTCTTTAAAAATGTATAGCATGTACAAAATTATACAACAGTGTTTTGTCTATTCATTTGACCTCCTTCCGAAATTGTCAATAATTGTGTGAAGGAGAACAAATCTAGTAGACAATAAAGCTGGTCCTAACAAATAAATATCTACTTTACAAATGGGGTCCCCGTTCTGCTTGTATTAATGGACATGGAAAGCAGTGAGTAAAGCATTTCATGTATCACAAACTCAAACAAACTCATTTATTGTAATGATGAGTAGTTTTAAGTAACCTTTGCAGTGAGACTTTTACATGACTTTCTCCCTTTAAAGACTAAGTATAAAGCTTCAATAATGTCACAGTGTTAAACTGTTCAAATATTGCAAATAAGAATACTAAACATATTCTTGTTACAATCACTCTGATCGACACATGCATTCAGGTTACAATCTTCAAACTAAAAAAGCTTCAAGGTCCATTTTCAGTTTTACCCTTTTATGAAAATGTCATTCTATCTGGAGATAAAAACATGGTACATGTACTCGACTAGTAAGTGATGAGTAGCTTGATTTGATTTTGATCATGAGTATGAATTTCATGTATACTATACATTTGTAAATACTGAAATCTCTATTAAAGTAGATGTTTCAGACATATTTTTTGTACATGTCTGACAACATAAAACATCACATGATTCATCACTGAGCTGTACAACAGCTCAGGTAATTTGCATAAAGTATTCATTAAACAAACAAGGAACCACAGCTAAATGTTATCTTCCAAATGGCAAGGTCTCCAGGCGAGTTGACATGAACAGTCACTGCTTTCAGTGTTCTTAACTTTCTTCACGTTTACAACAATGTCTCTGTCAGAGCATTTACACATAGGAAGTTACAGCACTCTTTATTATCAAACCACAGGTGCATTATAATGTCTGTCGTCTTCCGCGATCAGCACAACATGTGGCCAGGAATCCTTCATGTCATCGGGGTAGTACGTGAGGAAATCCTCCTCTAGATGCTGCTGTAGTCTCAGTACTTTAATTGTAACTCCTAATGTATACCCCAGTAAAATCATCTCTATCTGTAACATAAACAAAGGACAACATTAATATCATCACTTTCAGACCATGTTGTGGTGGATTATTTGCTCTGTAACCTCTTCTATTTTCAGGAATATACAATGTATCTAATGTTCTATGGAGTGTGGACACTGTAATTCAATTTTTCTTTTAAAAAAAAATTTAAGAATTTTAAATTCCACATTTATTTGCATGCAGAAGCCTGAAAGGGAGATAACTTTCATATCTTTTAATAATGAGCTGGTCCATGTAGTACATTTCATACCTGTTCTAGCCCCCCAGAATCTCCTACTGGATTGATGTGGTTCTTCACAAGGCTATCTAGATTTTCTGAGGTGTCTCTGGCAAACAACAGCCATACAAACACAGGGACCTCTTCTCCCCTCTGAGATGCCTCATACAGGGAATGGGCCTCGAGGACCATGAGGAGTTTGATGGCCTCCATACACTGCAGATCAGCTTTTGTGTCCTGATTCAGTAAATTTACAGGCCAGCTGGTCCTCTCTTCATCAGGTGAAAGACTCTGACACTCACTAAACTGTTCATATGAAAAAGTAAAACTTTTATCAAATCATTATTATAAGATCTACATCATATTACTGATCACTAAAAGTGAAATTATATAAACAGTTACAAAATCACCAGATGTTGTAGACATATGAGTATAAAGTGAATAACAATGGCAAGAAATAAAATTTAATAATAACATGAACAATGTAAACATTTTCCCATATCAAACTGTATTTAATATTCAGATTTGATTTGTTTGAGAATTGTAAGTCAGTAGAAAGTGTATTGACAAACAATAAGAGAACTCGTAGTGACAGAATTCTTCCTACCTTTTTAAAAAGACATTGAACACATTCTGACATGGTCAGTAATTTATCTTTCTTGTTATAGGGAATACGGTGTGCAAAAGTCCAGTGTGAAAGACCTGAGTTTGGATTTCTGTAGAGTGTTTGTAATTTGTTTATAACAGATTCAGCACTGTTCCATTTGGATAAAACATTGATATTCTGAATGAAGCACTGTAAAAGTGTTCCTCTAATCCCACAGTAGTTGTCTCCCCTGATTTGGTGTAGATGTCTACATCCAGTCACACTAGGTACTTCTTCATATGCCTGTGAAGATAATAATATTGGGTTAGTGATCGTTCTATAAATTCTAAAATTTTCACACACTGAAATGCCTCTTATGTACGTGTGTCAGTGTATGAAGTTTAATGAAAATATTTTGAACTGTTTCTTTGAAACTGAACTCAATGCAAAATGGGGGAAGTGAGGTCAAGGTCAAACAGAATGTCAAGGTCAGAAATTTTTAAGATGGCTGAAGTCTTTTCCCAGTATGTTTCAATATATGAAGTCTGGTGAAAATACCTTGAACAGTTTCTTTGCAAATCAGAAAATGTGATGTCAAGGTCAAATGGAAGGTCAAGGTTAGGATTTGTTGACACATTTGAGTTGTTTGCAACAAATATATGTATCAGTGTATGAAGTCTGGTAAAAATCTTGAACGACTGAAACTACTGCTAATTATAAAGTAGACAGAAGAAGATGTGGAAGGATGAAGATGGACAGAAAAAAACCACTATTAGTTATGTATACATTTATAAGGAAATATATGAGGTCTTTGAAAAGATGCATTGAGCAAGGCATAAGCCGAACACAATATGCATTTTATAAGGACCTCATATATTACCCCTATAAGTGTCTACATAACAAATTTTACCTATCATAGATTTTTCAATGCAGTTCATTTACTCTGAGCAAAGCAAATTATTGTTATATTGTGACGTCATCTGATGCTGATGTGAATCAGTTATTAGGCTCCTGGCGAGGTCGTGCAAAATCTAATAGGCATTAAAACATTTTACTGTTAAATTGCCTGTTAAGTGGTATGCAATAAGTACTTTTAAGTTTTGGGTTTTTTTTTACTCCAATCCTGACAATCATGCCAGACAAAGACACAAGTTTAACTTAAAACATATGTTACTGTACAATTTTATGCCTACAAATTAGTTTTTAATTAGTTTTTGTCCCTTTTGGTTAACATTATTGCCCTCATGATTACTTAGTTTCTTCATTCTTAAAAGACGATAGGACATATGTCTTAATCTTATGATTAAGTAAACAGACATGAAGGATTTTATGTGCAACTCTAACATTGTATACTTTTTCCACAAGACTTGAAATTTTACTTAATTTACCACAAACATTAGATTAATTATCTCTCATTAAGACATGGCAATCCTTAATGCTTTAATTAATTAGTCTGTCTTCTTAGCTGCACTGAATCATCTTTCAGATGAAACCAGCATTTGAGGTAATCCAATCCTCGTTACACTGAGACTAGGTCTCAAATAACAGACAGCAAGTCCACAAATGTTGTGTTCTCACAATGTCACAGGAAATTTTACTTGAGAAAACATTAATTCAAATAGCAAAATGACACTTCAAATGGTTGTTAAAAAAGTTTTAATTTGAAACAAAAGGCCTGTGGGCATTAATGGTCACCTGAGTATCATGAGTTTCTGAGGCAATGACCACATTAACCCCAAAATTTGTATTTTGCTTTAAAATGATGCTGAAGTCAAACAATCCAAAATAAAAATTGCAATACTACACTACTGATAATGGCAAATTAAGATATCAGCTCACAATTAATAAACAATTTATAGAAAATTTAAATTTTGTCTTAAGTCCATGTCTGTTTCATGATCCTGGTGCCTAGTCTCATATAAGTTTGGTTAGGACTCTTTTGAATTTATCATTATCAATTATATTCATGAAACTTGCCTCCTACAACTTCTGGAGTAAAGAAGATATGGTACATTGTATGACAAATTTCAACTTATCAACCACCTTAGTCCCACCCTGGGGCCTAGATACAGGGATATAAATTTTCTATCAATTTTCAAGAGGGCTAGCTATTCATTATAACTATGCAACACGTTCCTGGGTAATGATGAAGATTTTCTAAGATGCAGTATGCCCATCCTGGCCCGAGGCTTCAACCAAGGGGGGGGGGAGGGGAATTTAAACTGAAGTCCCAAGTCAAAGTAGATGCTGGTGAAAAAGACCCATCACTGTTTGGTGGCCATGAGTGCCTATCAGGAAATTTGTTTGTTAGAATAGACCATGTCATACTATACAATTAAATATGATCTAAGTAAAATATAAAGAAATATATTTGAAATCAAAAGATGTTTTCATAAAAAAATAAAGTAAACAATAAAACTACTGAAACTGAAATATGAATTTACCTATTTACTTTTCCTTGAGTTGACATATCAAACAAATGATATATGTATAACTTAAATTACCTTCAACATTACTGAAGCTCGCCTGGTGTTTCCCCTCCATTCTTTCTTACAGTATTCCAGTACATCCTGTTTTGGTCCTACATTTAGACATCCTGCAGAATATAAAGTACCCATCTCTAACTGAATGGCAAAATGGGAAATTTTGCAATGTTCTCTAATAAGTACATTTTTAATTTTAAGGAAATATTCAATACAAGAATTAACGTGTAAATTGTATTTAGAAATACCAAAACAAAAAAATAATTGTGAAATGTCATATATTTTACTTAAAAAGGAAAACCACATTAATTTGCACATTATTTTTATACACAACCATGTATTGTGTTTATGATAATGACGTAAACTGTAGACCAGAAATGAATTCAGGTACGCTTACATTATAAAGTTCTCTGTATTGAGAAATAACCCTTCCTCAACATACAACCCTCCAAAAAAATTACGTCATGGATGTTGTATCTCGTGTTCATACTATTAAGATTTGAAACCTAACTGTCAAATGTTAAATTGTCACAATGTAAGTAGAAGCAAACATTCAGACAACTCACATGCACATATAGACACCTCAGTTTTAAATGCATCAGATAAATGTATTGATGGTGTACAGTACTGAAAGACAGGACTCGAAAAGCTTGTTATTTAATATTATCAATATACATGTACTGCATTCATCAAGTCTGCAATTGACATAGATGGCAAGTCATAAATTCCGTCAACGCAATTTGAAGAAAATAAAATTTTTGAAAATTTTCATAAACAGCAGCAAAATGTATAATACATGTTTGTTTTAGGAATTAAATGCTGGAACATTGAATCAAACCAATGCTATAATGTCTCTCCCTTTGAAATAGTATATTTAAAGTAGAGCTATATATATCAACTTGAACACTCTTAACATTGAAACAATTCTAATTATAGTTTATGAACTTCTGAGTTTTTCGTACTATGTAATGTGATAAAGAACAAAAAAGAAAAAAACAAAAGTCTTCAAATTTTGAGTCTGACACTGAAAGTAATATCCAAACATATCAAAATGTAGATCAAAATTTCTTAGTAAAAAAATGTCAGAAATGGCCCTTAAACATTATAACAAAGTAAAGCTATCAAATTTTTTTTTAAAAAAATTTATAACATTATTTTGTAAATACGTGTAGATTCCACTTTTCAAATTCCATGTAATAAATATGAAGTAAAGTTCACATCTAGATAACCTACTTGAACCTACTTCAGCAACAATACAAAGACAATTACCTTTTTCACAATTTCCACCTTTAAAATAAAGTTGAATATTTGTAATCCAAAGAAAACAACCCATGGCAACAGAAAAAATACAAACTCAAGTATCCCCTTTGTTTAAGCTCTTATCCATCATCCAGTTCACTACAGAATAGTCTACCTGCTTTCGCAATAATTAATTAAATGTGGTCACTGCTCAAATACCACACACTGAATAAAGACATGTACAGAAGCAGTTTACAGTAAAAATACGTATCTCATTTAATGCCCATAAATTGTGCAGCTTTTGCTGGAAAAAAAATGAAACTGTGCGGACTAAACTGGTTCTTTGGCATTAAATGATTACAATAAACAATTAATGTCAGAATGCACTTCTTTTTAGCAGAGCTTTATAAAAAGACAATTAATTATGGTTTTTATACATTAATTTACCTCTTTTTAATCTTGCATCCATAATCAGATTTTTTGCATTAAACCAATAAATTACATCGATTGTTTTGTAATTTGACCACTGTATTATTCAACCACTTAAAATAAAATACGCAAAAATTCATCATTAATTTCAAATCTATACATTTGTTCTCACTAATTAATCCAAATTTTTATGTTAATCACGTAACTTTTTCATTTTTCTTTGACAGATTTTTTTTAATGCTAATGCAAGTGTTTAACAGAACTAATTAATTATTAATGGGCCTTGCAAGCCTTCATTTTAATAAAAGATCTATTTTCAAACTTCATTTTTTGCTCTTTTAAATAATAAATAGAAAAAAAAGAAGTCAAGATTTGTTTTAGCGCAAAATGGCAAAATGAAAACCACATCGCTTAGAAATGGCAAATGCAGTCAGAAATTTTAAGTAAAAAAAATCATTATATGGTGACATGTTTTCACATATAAATGTACATGTATTAGAAAGCTCTCAGTCCAGCTAGGTGCCTCAATAATCTCAATGACATAATTATTCCAGTCTGAATTTCCACTGTCAATTTTCTAAATTCTACCCAGTTTAAGTCTATAACTAAAATCTATTTATAGCCTCGGTTTACTTAAATTGCACTTATTCTGCTGGACAGTATTAAAATTATATGAGGTAAGTGATGAAATTCATCAGATATCTTGACTGGAATATGTTTTTTGTCTATTTATTATTTACATTCTTCATTGCATGCCATTCAATTATTTGATATAATACATGAGCCTTAGAACAAATATTATTTTTGCAAAGTGATACATGTATTAAAACATAGACACATAACTTTTAAACGATCATAAGAATTTTTTTTTAGCGGAAAAAAAGTCACCCATAACTCTACCTTTATTTTTCATATTTTCCACAAATGGTAATACGCTAAATTTCAATATTGATATACTAGTATTACATGGTTAATTTGTTCATTTGGAACAATTTTTTATTTAAGATATATATTGTACTTTTAATTGCAATCCCTTTCTGTCAATTAAGAACATGCAAATTTGTGCTTTATTTTCTTATTTCCTGTATAATAAATTAAGATTTCCAATAATTTAAGAACTTTTGTGTGATTTTATTATGCCTGGTAATGCTGTACACCTCATCTGAACCAAATGTTGAAAAAATGCCAGCTAAATCTATATTTTTGTTACTTAATTTATCTTTAAAAAAAATACAAGGATTTTTATCATTTGATATAGATTGTTAAATAATTCTGATTTTTTGTCTTTGACCATCTGATGGTACTTTGATTTTAAAATAAGAATATCTTTGAAAATTACCAGTGGGAAATGTATATTATATTAAGGTGTACATGTATGTTGCGTAAGACCTTAAAAACTAGCTGGCTGAGTAAACAACATCCTCTACCATTTTGACTTGGACTCATGACTATAGTGATTCCGTTTGTTCTCTTTAATTGTCAGTAATGGACTTGTACATAAGTAAGCTACCCTGGGTTATGTGGGGTGTGAATTCTCTGGAGAGAAAGATATATCTTATACAAATGTGTACTGCACATTAATTTCATCTAGGTCTATTCAAGGATAAATTTATTTTCAAAAATGTTTATTGTACAATGAAGGTCTTCATTTACATGTATTAAAATGTACTGAATCTCCTTTTATAACTAATATTTGCAATGGTTTTTTTTTGTTCAAATTATTATACAAGGTATATGTACTTTTAACATATTTAATCATGACTTGTCTATTTTTTTTTAGACTTGATATTTCAAATGCACTTTTATATACTTATTACTTCTGTGCCATATACCTAAGGACACTGAAGTTGCATGCAAATTAATTTGACAAACTGTAGCCTGTCTGTGAATTATTTTTCCTTTGATTCCTGCATGTAACAATGGTTATTTTTAAATCCTACGTATAATCTAAGTGACCATGTCTAGCAGCTGTACTATCTATGGTAAATGTTTAATAAATTACTATTGTGGTAATTTGACATATGGTAGTCTTATTAAAAAAAAAAATCCTTTCTTTCTTGTGTCAGAATGCTTTCATAATATTCTGATTAAACAATTTTTATACCCCATTATGTCAGAACTCAGAAATGCAGTCTCTTATGTGTTAATTACCAATTACTAGGTCAAAGGTCAAGTCGTAAATACAATCATACCACATCTCAGCCATATTATACTGTAAATGTATTACATTTATAGTGTATGATAATTGGTAGATATTGATTTTTGAACAAGTAAGCGTCAATTTGTTTAGCGCATTTCTTAATGATTTTATTTACCGTATGTGTATATGTGCAGGATATTTTAAGCGTTGTACTTGAATTATTTGAATTGCTTTCCGCCATAGACGCTAAAAAGAATACACAGTCATATGTAAAATGTTTACATAATATACTTATGACCCTTTATTGTGGTCCCACCAAAGCCTTGGAGTAATGCTTTAACAAACTCAAATCTACCATGCATGGATCTAGAGGGGGGATCTAGAACCCCCCCCCCCCCCCCCCCGGAATTTGCTGAGTTATTTGAAGTATAATTATACTGAAGCAAATAAAATATGACTTTTGGACACCCCCCCCCCCCCCTTAGAAAACGTGGACCCCACCATCACCACCACAAAATAGGTGTTTTTCATGTTTGGGAAATGGTTTTTACCTTTTTTTTTCTTTTTTTTGCTTGTCAAGGAATTTTTTGGGAAGGGAATTTAGTTTTTTTCCCTTTTGTTGCTTGTTAAGAAATTTTTGGGTTGGAATTTTTTTTGACTGTATTGGACCCCCCCCCCCCCCCCCCCCCCCCCGGGAAAAAAATCCTTGATCCGCACCTGTCTACATCAAGTTGTGATTGCACAAAACTGGTTGATGTTCTTTAGAAGTTTAAAAGCTTGTTATTGGATTTTTTCCTATTTATACCAATATAAATAAACCTCTGACCTCCAATTGTCATGTAGTTGCCCTCATCCTACCCCAAAAGGGCTCCATCTGAACCTGATTTTACGCTACTTGGAAATGCTTGTATACTTTAAATATGACTGTGTGTGGCCCTGCTGTTTACAAGATTTTGAAAGATCTTCCCTGATACATTCCAATATAAAACTTTCACTGGCTGGTTTTTGCGGGCCAATGCTACTCCCATGAATTGAGCAAACCTGATTCTATGCTATCAGGAGATACGGAAATATTAAAATGACTACTGTATACAGGGAAATTTTTGCTTCCATTTTATTTTCACCCCTTTTGCCCATCTATCAGGTGGGCAATTTAAAAACGGTGCAAATTAAAAAAAACACAATATAATTTCTTAAACTGAACTGTGACTTGGCGAATTCAAAATGGGGCAAAATTGTGTGAAAGGGCAAAATTACAGGGGCGAAAATGACCCTGTATACAGTATTTATTCAAAAGACCTTTTACAGAATTTTTTCCTATATATTACAAGATAAAAAATTTGTAGCTCCACCCTTGCTCTGGGGGAATATGACTTAAAAATCAGATTTAATTTACAAAAGATGAGGATTAATTACTGTGTTTTAATATTTTCCATAATTTTCCCATGTAAATTTTTTACCTCCATTGTAACCCCACCCAATTCCCTAGGGCCATGATCTGAAAATTAAAACTTGAAACTACACCACAAAGGTTTTGACTTTTTGGCCATTTAGTTCTTGAGATTTTTTTTTATGACACCACCAAATTTCCCCTATTTCCTACTCATTTCCCCTTGGAAGAGGACATGGTTCTTCCTTTGAACAAAGTGAAAATTTTTCATCCAAGGATGTTGTACAGCAAGCTTGCAATTGGTTGAATTTGGTCCAATGGTAACATTAAAGAGAAGTTGAAAGTGAAAAGTTTTCCCATGACACTCAAAGACAGTTACTGGACACGCTTCAGTCAAAGAGCTCATTTGGTTAAGGTATTCAATGTATAACGACCATATTTTGTACCTAAAAAATGAATGGTCCAATATTTTTAATCACGGTAGCATTTTGAAGGTGTTACCAAATAAAAATGCTCCACCAAAGGAATTTACAAAATTTTGATTATTTTTCTTTTAATTGCACCTTGAATTTTACATTGAAGTCTATGGGCAGTGCATGTTTTTTTAAGATATTGTAAAAAGTAATTTGAATTTCAAACAAATCTTTTGGAGAAAATATGCATAAACTCTCTCTTTATTAATCTATGAAATAAAATTAATCATTTACCACAGAGATTTTGAGAAATTAAAAATTTTCTGATTTTAATCAAGGGGAGATAACTCTTCAAAAACTTTTAAGGTACAAAATGACCGGCGTCTTACTTGTAATCAGTCATGTGAATTTGGTTCATTTCACTTTTATCGTTATCTAGCAATGCATTTTTAAATAGTTTAAATTTATTCAAAATTGATAAAATCCCTTCATTATACATTGAATACCTTAAGGTGAGATTAAGATTGTAAAAAGGCCTTTCAATGACTTTCACAATTAGCCCTTGACCTCTGACCTGAAATATACAGGTTTCTTATGATCATCTAATCCTTCTCTGACGACTGTACTTACAAAGCATAAGCTCTTTAGTTTACTTGGTGCTCCCATTGTTGTGATGCAGAAAGATGCTGACCTTTAGACACAATGATTATACTGAAGATGAGTCCTGGCCTACAGAGAACTTTACAAGTTGCATGAGCTTTAGATACTTAAACATTGCAAAACTATTTTAAGGTTCATTGACCCTCTGATAAGAGAGATAACTCTTTATGGGATAAATTTGATTTTCTATTATTCCTTTATAAAATTATCAAGTTGAAAGCCTTTATGTCCAATTTAGTCTTGCAAGCTACGCTAAAACTGTAAAACGCATTTAACTTATAAAATACATTTCTTTTGGAAAATCATATTAATCATTTTATATGAGTGAACAGAGAGGTTATGAACCTTAATACAGCATTAATTTCATTCTATCTCTGTCATTAATTTCATTCTATCTCTGTTATTAATTTCATTCTATCTCTGTCATTTAAATGATCTTGTTTGACCTTGGATCAAGGATATAAAAATACAGGTTTTTCTGAAATGTGAGCAGACCCTTTTGTGGGAGAAATGTCTCAGGAGCAGGGACTTTTCGTGGTTGTTCAATTTGTTTGAAAATACTTAAATTACACCCCTTGATCCTAAGCAAACTAATGAATTTGCCTCAAGGGGGCAGGGAAAATAATTCAGCATGAAATGTCATGATCAAAGATATCCATTATGTTTACAAAAATAATCATGATTATACGACAAAATCAAAAGAAATTCTTTGAAGAAAAATTCTTGGAAAGTTGTTTACTACATAGTCATTAAAAGGGCTTACTGATATATTTTGTGTCAAACTGACTACTGAATTATACATATGTAATACCTAATTATACCAATGATGTTTACAAAATATGAAAACCCAACATGCAAAAGAATTAAAGCTCATGCTTCATAAATAAAAAGAGAAACACAAATGTTATTGATAAAAGTGTATTTAACGAAAACACTTGACAAAATAAAACAAAACAAATTATGTCAACAACAAAAGAAACTCAACTATAAATAAACAAATATAAATCACTGGTTAATCAGTTGAAATCAAATAACATATTTTAGTTCTGTTCATATTTCAGAAAACAACCAGAAGAAAAAAATGAAGCATGAACCTTTGATGGTCATGTGAATTCAGAATGCATGTATGATGTTTACAAACAGAGAAAAACTTTCCTTTATAAAATTTGGCATTTCATTTCTGATTTTTCCTTTTCCTGAAAATTGATTAATATTTCCCAAGTGGTTAGCTTCATGGTATTTACTAATGAATATTTAATTTCCAATACTGTACAGAACTAAATTTCAATTTCAGAAGTATTGACTATATCCCCCCCCCCCCCCAATATTTTGATATTTTGTTACACATGTACCTCTTCCATTAGCTAGGTAAAACCTGGTGTCCCCTGCTTACCACGGGGAGGTGGAAGTAGGATTTTGAGCAGGATAACCAAAAGAGTAAAAAGAAAATCAAACATTGTCAAATTGTTAAAATACAAAAACCAGATATATATAAGTATTTTTTTTTAAAAAATGCATTAAAGAAGGCAAAAGCTGCACATACTACCAAATAATCAGTAAGGCAATACACTCCAATTCATGCAAATAGAGGCCGAGTCTGAGAAGAATTAAATGTATCATGCAAAATTCAAACCTCTCTCTCTCTCTCTACATAGTGAATACTTTCTACATGTTCGAAACAAGCATATAATATTCAGAAAGTATCCTTTATTCTTTGTAAACAATACACTGTTTTCACTCGAAAACAAAATTTGCATAATTGAATTAAGATTAGAAGTACTAATATGACAGGAAAATATGTGATGAACACATGTCAGTAACATGCAACACTATCAAAAATATGTTTACAGTAAGCAAAGAGCCATACTGTATCATGATGATACTTTAAATGATCTAACGCCCAGGGCTGTTTCTATACTGACCATACCTCACAAGTAATACTGAAAACATGAACATTTTGTCATTTGTGTCTATGTAATAACCTTGTAAGACTGGAGAACAAGTCATGTACTGGTGACCTGCCCTCCCTTTCCTAAACATACTATTACCATACAGCTTAGTTTCCACTGTACCACCCCTAGCACTCATTATTGCTTTATCTTTACCTGGGGATAATTCTCTAGATGACACCAGCTCTGCAGGATCCATATCAAAGGCACTATCTGTATCCAGCTCATCCAGAGTTGTCTGCCCTTGATCATACTGGTCACTGCAGATGTCACTGTCATCAAGAATAAGTTTATCACATGTTTGCAAATTGTCAGATAAAAATATTATAGCACCATCTGATGTGGAGATTTTCTTGTCACTAGTGTTAGAAGTCTCTTCTATAACATTTTCAGAAGATTCCTGAGATTCAGTGACCATTTTGGAAGGAAGACTGTTGATGCGTTTCAGCAGGACCTTGATTTGACTTTGACCTTCACTATCCCAGGAGAGATCAATTCCATCTGTGTCTACTGCACTTTCACTCAACGATGTATCACTTTGTGAGCGATGGAGTTTCTCCCTGGTCCTCTCAACAAAGTCACATGCTTTTTTGGCGAGTGGGTCACTCGGAGTGTACTCCATCTCATCCTCACTGGAATGTTTTGCTGCCAACTGTTTTAATTCATCCAGTTTTGCAGTAATCTCAGCAAATTCATCAACAATATCATCCACTTCATGCTCAATTTCTTCGAAATACTCTCCTGTTTCTTGGCCTACTTGAGCGGACCCGGTAAAAATCTCATTTTCACTCATTCCAGACAAACTCTCTTGTCTTTCACAACTGTTACTCCTAGCATACTTAACAGGAGAAGCTTCAGGCGAAGAATTTACAGATGTCGATGTACTCGATGTGTTGATTTCATGAAGTCTCTGAAGTAGGGTCTGCCTAAACTGGCCATCTACACATTTGGCTTTGTGTAAAGGAGAAGAGTCTTGCTCATCATCATCGAAACTTAAATTTCCTGAAACATCTGTTGTGTAGTTGCTGAAGAGTTTGGCACTTCCACTGGAGTGGAATGGAGATGTATGGTTAGAACTATCTGTTGTTTGCCAAAGAGAACTTGCTTGGTCTATGACATTGGAGTCAGTCCCATTACCAATCAAATGCTCAGAATCTGTTGGTGACAAGTTTGAAATGAGATCTGGAATGTTTTCTGAAAATGTCACACTAGGTTTATTATGTTCACTTGAAACGGTTTCCTCGTTTTGATTGTTGCGATCATCATCTGAGGGCGGAGTCAACAAAACACTACTGACTGTCAACACATCCTGAGAACTAGAAATTTCTATCTGTAAACTATCGCCAGATGATTCACAAAGATGGGGTTTATTCGACTGAAAATGTTCATCAAACCCATATTTATAGTTTCGTTCATACAGCGACTTGAGGCTCAGGTTCCCCTTGAGTGACCCACTGTTTGGTTCTGTTCCACTGAAGTCTGAGGCACTGTGGATAAACCGATCAACCGAATCCTCCAGAGCCTGTGAGGAACTGTCCTCCTGAGAATTCAGAAGGAGGACCTCCTCTTCCTCCTCTGAACTTTTTCTGTGTCGTCGATTCTTTGAAGGTCTGCGCTGCCTTACGAGGATTGGACTTGTTGCTTGGTTTCTGGTACGGCAGCTACCAAACTGCACTCCGTTTACAGCATTATAACGAACTGGTACAGTTTCACTGGAGCCGGAATTTCCCATATCATCCTCTTCACTATCTGCATGCACCTACAATATAGAGTTTTAAATATTTTAGAAAATAAGATTCTTCTTATTTTAAATATTCTGAAACTAACACTAAATTTTATACTTGGATGAGAATTAATGCTAATATCTAATATCTTCAACATGAATGCACAAAAAGAGAAGTAAGCGATGAACTAACAAAATATCAACACCACATCCTGAGTATGAAAACTTGACGTATTCATAGTAAACAACATCATTTGATTATTATCACCGACTTCATTTGTATTAATTGTTCTGATTAAAGCTTGGCAAACAGATTAAGTAACTCTAGATTATAAGCAAAATTGTTCTAAGGGCAGAAAATATATAGGTATTCAGAACAAAGATTTTACAAAGAACTGCTTCAACCTTTACCTATAGTCTGGAATTTGGTTCAAGGTCACTGTATATCCTTTATCAGAGAGCATCTGCTAGGTGTAGAATAAGCCAGATTAGGCTGAAGGGAGAAAAATATGCCCCAGACAAGGATTTTTTCAGATGCCTGTTTGACCTTGACCTCTTAATGAGAAACTATAAGAACAACTTCACTGGATATATCTACCCAGATAGCACACTGTGGGTGAAGTATGAGTTAGACTGGGCCAAGAGAGAGACAAGACACATTGGATAGAAAAATGGATGGACAAAAGGACAGACACTGATCACTAGAGGCCACAAACAGAGCAGGGTCCAAATTAATGCATGTATGTTCATCTATCATAACTATGTAAATCATACAATTAACATTTTACTTTTGCACTGTTTTGTTTTTTTTAAGTGCATTTATTATAAATCTTGATGAATGAAATGATTCACTAGTGTGACTGGTTTGTTCACTTTCTCTTTTGGTGTTTTTTTTTTTTTCTATATTGGTTCACCAGCATAAAGACTTATTGTTCTATAATGCTTTTAAATTTAACCAATCTACAGGACCTGTTGTATGTTTTGTTTATATGTGAACTGTGTGACTTTGGTGTTCTTAAGTACACCTGTGTTTATTTACATGATACAGAATAACTTATCAGACAGGCAGATGGTACAACAGGTTTATAATGTTCATCAAATCTATTTTAATTTGACTGTATAAAGTCGCTCAATTGAATGGCTTCAGTTCTGTACAATTATACAGGCTGTCATAATTATATAACAGTTCAGCAGCTTATTTAGAAAAAGAGATAGATATGATAATAACAAGGAATTGCAGGTGTGCATGCTAGACCACTCTTGTGTGCATGGTCTGGGATTCTGTAGATTTATTGATTTATCTGTATGTGTTATTAACAGACTGCATCATCCATTACAGAATTGGAAAAATGGAGGCAGAAGTCATATTCTGTGTTTCTCCTGCTTAGCTTGATTTAATTTACATAACATTGGGGGTAATATAGCCACCTGGCCTGATACAACTTCATTCTTTAATGGAACTTTGAGTCTGGGCAAGTTCTCAGAGAATATATCAGAGACACATGATTTTATAGTCAAGAAACCCTTAAAAATATTAGCACTTATGGATCTTTTGTGTGTGTGTCATTACAAAAGTAAGATTTATTCTGCCTATTTAAAAACATCAATGACTCACTCACACCAGGCTAAGTTCAACACTTGGACACCAATTAAAACCGACAATAACATGTTAAACATGAGGTGTTTTCACTGTTTTGAATTCTTCTGTTGCTATTTTCAGTTAAACAAATATATATATTTAAGATTATTTCTCAATTAATAAGCACTGAGCTCCTTAAACTGAAAAAAAACCACAAAGCCTTGAAATTTCAGGGCAAGATTAATGTAAAAGCACTGTGAAACCTAATCATATGAAAAGTCTCCATGAACATGATAAGTGAAGGTCACAGAACAATAGAGTCTACAGAAAGCTTATCTACAATCAATCCTCTATCACTGACAAAGCAACATATCATAGCCTGGTCACTGTCCTGTAGGAAAAGGATTAAGATAAAATACAAGAGCATTTATGTTGCGTTAAAAGAAGAAACATGAAAAATCAATAGATAAACTGCTGAATAGTTCCTGGCCAATACTTACAGACCAATCAGTTCACAGACACACACACAAAAGGCCAAAAGCTCACATCCTCCTAAAAATTAGTCATCCCGAGAATTGATCTTGTTACATGTGACTGCAGCGTTGAAACAAGGGAGTCCTTGACAATGACACTTCCTGTCATGGTCAAAGGGAGATAACTCTAATCCACACTAAATCAATACGCACTTTTAAATCACCTGAGTAATGCAGTGTTATATGGTGATCTCATCAAAATCGCCAGACAAAGATATTGATCATTGTGCAGTGTGTTAAGCCCTGTTCAAGGAGTCTCCTTAATGCCTAACAGGGAAAAATAAACATTTACTTATCCTGTCAAATTATGTACTTCTTTAATTAGGGGGTGGCAGTTTAATTGGGGAGTAATTAAACTAATTAAATTTTTTTCAATGTCATACTGAACTTACATTACCGTAGTTATTATAATTCACCTTAAGACATAAATCCTTGAATAATTGACCTGTCTTCGCCCCCCAAGTTTGTCAGACTGTGACCATGAATTTACTCAAGGCACTTAGAAATATATATACATGGAAAGTCTATTCCTACACAAAGTTAGTAAGGTTTAACCTAGGGTTGGATACCGTTAAGGATGAAACGGTACGATACCATACCGGTATTTTTGAAACGATACGGTATTTTTAACGATACGGTACTATGCATTGATGAATGAGAATGAGGGTTCATTTTATAACAAATGTACTTTCACCATTCACTAACCTTTCAATGATATAATCTAAATTGAGCTTATAAACTATGTTCCATGCTTTTAAGAGATAACAATAGATATTCCTAATATTCAAATTACAAAACATTTCATTTCAACCTTTTAATAATGATCAACAAAACAAATCAATTGAATACCAAACAAATTAATTTGCACAAATCGGCTGACTGCTTCACCAGGTTGCCAGGACCCCTTTTGTTTGGTCGCACTAAATGACCAAACAGTAGATAATGGATAGATTACATTTTTTGCGACATTTTGTCTTTTTAATTTACATTTATCAGTTTTTATTTGTAAAATTAAAATAAGATTCATGTGAATGTATTTTGAATTTTTTTTTTTAAAAATATACGTATTGATTTACCTCGAATATCGGCAGTCGAAAGTAAGTATCGTTCTAAGAATCCATTTCGTTACATGTAATTAACCTAGCCTTTCAATGAGCGGAGAATTCGATTTTAGCAAGTTTGGAATCTTTTTTTTTTTAATCAAATTGAATGTATTAAAATGTTTTAAAGATTAAGAAGTACCGTTATTAGTACCGGTATTAAATGAAACGGTATTTTACCGGTATTTTTGAAGTAACTATTCGGCACGGTATTGGTACCGAGTACCGGTGTCCAACCCTAGTTTAACCCTGCAAACTTTTTGCGAAAATTTGCTTCTATTAGCACATATCTTTGCATGATTGTGTCACATTCTCAGTTTGCACATGTTGCAATAGTATATATGTACTTTTGCAACATATATGTACATGTTTCCCTTCAATGGAAGTCAATATGTGAAGTATTATCTGTGAAATACACTTCTCAATTTTTTAATACTTATACACTGTTTTTTTTTTTTGATAATCAATTCTCTTCTACAATTATCCATACACTAATACCTATTCAACTTTATTATTTGTAACCTGGAATTGTTTCACTGATTTTTTGATATGATATGAATACTTTTCCACTCCTGTGTTTTGTTTTGTTTTTTTTTTAAATTTTGGTGTATACTTACATTGTTACTTTTGTCCCGATGGCAGTAATTATCTGCTGTTTTTACTGGTTCCGGATCCTTGGGGTCAGATGGAAACAGTTTACAGTACAGCTTATATAGAAGATAACTCCCAATACCAAACCCGATCCCAATGGCACAGAGAAGAGTAGTGGCCTTGGCTGAAAGGAAAGAAAGATTCTACAATGATTCATTCACATTTAGGTCTACATAACTGATACGTTAAAACTGCTCAATAAAAAATCTTTATCTTTACTAGCTGTTACAGTATATAACATGCAAAAAAACAAATAATTAAAAAAAAATACACAACATATAATGATTAAAATATAATGATTCATAAATTTAAAGCATGCAGGCTCTGCAATAAAAACCATCATTGTTTCCATTAATTTTTCTTTTTTAAATGATCTAAGCACTGCGTGTGGAAAGATGAAAAGCGGAAAAGTTCATTATGAAGTAAAATACTGAAATATATAGTAAGATTTTACTGCCAGTAGGTCCTATAATCATGATGTCAAAGAATTAGTGCGTCCTCATGTATATTCTCTTTTTTTAAAATCTGAATTATCTAGATAAAGTTCATTACAATTCTTAATACAAAGAAATTAATATCTATTTAGTTATTTATTATAACTGCTGTTTGTGTAACAGTATAACAAAGACTGGGTAGGTTACTAATGTCAGCTTGGTAGCTCAGGGGTAGAGCACCGGCCTGCACATGAAATGATATTATACCAAAATAAGTTGATATTTTTTGCTCTTTACATCCTTGCCTAAAATATTTTCAGGAAATTTAAAATAGTAAAGTCAAAACTTCCAAAACTGTTTCTTTGCATAAAAAAAATGATCATGCATTTGAAAATTTTAAAATACATTAGTTTACCATAACTGACAGCTTCTGAAACTTTGAGAAAAAGTTTAAGCACTCTAACTGACATAATAATAATTTAAAATCTAAATATATTTCAAGCTTCAGAAGCATTCTAATTAATATAACAATTTACAGCAGTGGATTAGTGTTTAATATTTTACCTATTACTGACTTGATCACATTTTTTAAACACTTCCTCATGCTATAAGATTTCCTTATGTACTATAGTCCTATTGTTCTACTCCACCAAAGTCTTCTGAACCCCTAAGATAAGATAATAAACAAAGTCAACATATCCCTTGGCAACAAACTCATATGTTACAAGATAATGTCCTGGTACAGATTATCTCCCCTTGATTCACAAATTTACTTATGTTTAAAAAGTCTGGGCTATTATCACACTTTGTTTTATCACCTTGACCCTGCTGTGTAACTATTTTATACCTACAGGTACGTGCAAGCAGTCATTCTGTAAGTACAGGTGAACAACCCCCCTGCAGTTATGTGAATAAATACATGTGTCAAATAAGTCTGAACATTGATTAAATGTAAATTTTAAATTGTCAGTGAAATCACCTTGTTCACTGCTTGTATGCATATATATGAATTTGACACTCTGACTAGTGAAAGATGAAACTTAAGGTAATCCAGACAAACAGTACTGTTGAAAAGCAAGACAAGCACTTCTATCTCAGTCTTTCATTACCACAGTCTTAATTACCAGTACAATGAAAAAAATAAAGAGTAACTCAGTACATGTATATTCAAACCTCATTCTATGAATGATTTGCAAAGATGATTAACGTAACAAGAAATCTAGCCATGCCAATAGCTTAGGATTAAAATGGATGTGCAAATTCTGTGCAATATACCCCATGAAGAAGTTGGTTTGAGAAATTGGTGTGACAATTAACACAGATTAAGAAAAATATTCTCAGATATACAAAATTTTCATTGGAGAATTTTACATAATATAATGTACCATAAAAAATCCCTTCACTAAACATGTTAAACGATCTACAATCTCACCATGGTATCTGACTGGCTGAGGTTCTACATACACCTTCACAATCATCGTCATCTTGCCAATCCTGGTTTAAAATTGCTGAATTCACAAATTCAACCCCTTAACTAACTCTTCTCTAAGACTACTTAGCTAACATCTGCAGACTCCTCACTCCAGAATTAAGAAATGGGACCCCTTGTGCCATGGAATTCATTTAATGGTGGCCACCCTCTATATATGAAGTATTAATGTCAGGACCACTGCTGGGCCCTCTACCTCCAGATAATATATTTGATAACTATTTTATCACCTGGTGCATGGTCGATCAGGTGACTCACCTAGTCAATATCAACAGATGTATTCATTTATGTGTAAAATTATATCGATTGTTCTTGCAATACTTAACTATAAATTTACATGTCTGCTTTATTTTAAAAGGAAGCTTATCACAGTTAAAATCTTGAGAGAAAATAACACATTGAAAAATCTTTTTAACATATTTTAGGACCATCTATACACTGAACACTGAAGAGTTCTATTTTCATGGTACTTTTATGCAGTTTATAGAGTGATCTGCCCTTGATTTAAAAGACTATGGTTTAATAAAAATTATTAAAGTTTGTAATTAGTTCAAGTATTCTTTATATTTTGACCAAGATGATCTTGTTAGATGAAGTAACTAAATACTTCATTTGCAATTTTTTCCCCATCCAAGTAAACAACAATGATTTCTATTCATCAATACTTTTATATAGTCTTTGAATATTTTTCTTGGGACAGAATGGCAGGTACTATGGTCCCTATGTTGAAAATAAAATAGATCAACTCAAAATATTCACCTTTGTAGAATATAATTTTTTCGAAGTCCAAAAACATATTTTACTAGTGTATTAATTGATCCTCTTTGTGGGATGTTTCCTCTCATGTAAAAATCTTCCTGTTGAAAATCTACAAAGCCCCCTGGCAACTTAATAATTCTCAATTATATAAAACTACAGAAATATCCTGAGGCAAAAAATGTCTTAATTAAGCTTAAAATACAGAACTTGTACCAACACCAATGTGGTTGTCTTTCTCACAACTATATAACTACCACAGTATCAAGGATACTTCTGAAAGTCATTGTAGGTAAACAAAACAATACCATACCTCTATAACCCATCATAGATAGGAGGGCATGCCATTACTAACAGAAACAAGTTTATCTGACTCCTCATTACCTGTTATAAGACATTCTGACAAAAACTTGGCAAATGTCATCGACTTTTCCATAACATATCGCCTGACAATCAGTTTAGGATACAATAAATTCAACAAAATCCCAATGAAATTCAACAAGTTCTTAACAGGAAATAATCAGTGTTTACACATAAATAGGAATTTCCCGCATGTAATGTGAAATGAATACACAAATACTTGATAAACATTTCATTTCCTTCTGAAATTCTGAGAGGAAAAGTGGACACGTGAACAGAAAACACACACGTAGAGAAGTACTTGTACAAGTACTTGTGCATTTTGGTTCACTACAGAAGCAGTATTTCATAAATTATACACAAGACTAACTCTTAACTTCTAAATTTTAAATAAATATTACAAGAAATTTGTGTATTTCTAACTTGTAAACATTAAATATATATTAATTAAACCATGTAGAAACAAGTACATTTATTACTTGTAATATGTCAAGTTTTTGAATGCAACTGATCAAACTTACACACTGTGAACATCAGTAAATCCCAAATCAAAATTTCTCCCATCAAATCCATTAAATTATTAGGAAAGAAATAGTCTTAGACTACATATATAATACATATAAATATTAAATACAGAACAGTCAAGACACACCTAGAAATGATAAGACTCAAACTACACTGTACAGTGCATATGTGACAAAAGATTTTTTTATTTTTTTTTTTAAATTTGACTACATCTACATAAAACCCTACTTTAATTTCAATCAGTTTAAAATTATAGACTTCACAGGTAACTGTGCACAATATTCTAGAAATAAACCATTAATTCACACACTCAGGTTGTAAGTTAAGACATCTGCCAATAACACCTACTGTGGTGTTCTTTTTGCATCATCAAGTTGACAAAAACATGATGTTAAGAAATTTCAGTGTGATTTTGCACAATTCTATGAACAATTATGCAAAAATTGTTCCCTACTCTAGAATGTCATTCCGGTAGATTGTTTGGATCAGAATTATTTTAATACCTGTAAAATACTTTCAAACTGGCCAATAGTTCATAACATATGTATCCTATGAATTGAATTCCATTCTCCTCATTTTCAATTTCATAGAATAGTACTTTTACATTGAGAATACTGAATCGCCTAGTTCATCCAATCACCCCCTTTGTTGTTCTCAATCTAACACTCTTCTGTAATGGGAATCTTCCTCTGGCTAATCTTTGGATTCCTCTCTATCTCTGCCTATTGATCGTGGAACCAGAATTCCTTCTCTGATCATGAGTACAGTGTACAATGTACAGAGATGTTTTCATTTAATCAATAGGCAGGGACATTTTAAATGGTTCCCAATCAAATCTCAATAAACACATCAACAATACACAATATAAACACTGCATGTAGATATCAAAGATACTGCAAAATGGTGAATGGAAACTTGTCATAAGATTGATAATTATAATATCATTATACATATATTGCATAACTAATAAATAGCAAAATGCATTGCAAAGCAGTTTGTGTAACACTTGAAACAAAACAAAAACCACATCAGATTAAGAGGCATGTGCAGCAGTAAACTTGTTAAAGTAGATGTAAGTCATGCAGTGAACAGCTGGTACACAAACTAACAAGAAAACAGGGTAGACTTTTATGCAACTATAGCAGACAAAAGTGAAACAATGATCAAAATTACTGTGTACTCAATCGACATTCCAACTCTACAGGAATGTGGAATCTATACACAAACCTTTTTTCACTTTCATAACCTAGCCACATCAGGTTAATAACACAATATGATTTTTGGCAAACATGCAAATCACTGACATTTACAAAACAATTCTAAATATGTCTCCTTCTACCACAGCAGCCTATGATGCTGAAATATTTACTTATAGTCATCCTAATGTATACTCACCTCCACACAAATCTAATGTTACTCCTTGTCCTCCAAATGACCAACACAAAACAACTTTTTTCTGGCCTGATGCGATGTCTGAGGCTAGCCTGAAAATATCCTGACAAACGTCAGTGAGACTGTCCAGGCTTTGAGGGGCGGGGGTGGCTGGTACGCCCACCCTCAGCTTATGTAGAGGGGGCCACTTGTGAGGGCCACATCGCTCCATCACTGGTAGCCTGGTGTCTGGAATTAGAACAGTTTGTATAAAGGTATTGATCAGTGACCTTCAGCAGCTAGAACACAAGTTCTCTCTCCTTCCTGCTTAGTGATCATGCTAATGCAAAGCTTGCAAAACATTCTAGAAAGGATCAACATATATATGAAGTATGACCAAAAAAAAAAAAATTTGATTTTCTTTTTTGTTTACACCACATTAACATAATTTTCTATCTATCTACCTTAGATTGCTATTAAAAAATTTTAAGGCAAGTGTAAAAAAATTTCTTTTATTAGATTCTCATAATTAATGCTGTCAAATATCATATTTACTTGATTAAATATCAAGAACTCAAAATTCATTTCATTTGGTTTAAGAAAAACTTTAAAAATCAACATACAATCATGTACATTACTTTTTTTCATTTTAAATATATGCACTAATTAATAGAATATATTAAATAGGCTAAATATACAAATGGCAATTTAAAATCCTCAAAATTTTAACTCACATCTGCACATCTTTAGATTTCAGAAAAAAAAATCACAAACTAGAAACAGTCTCTTGTCTTTGGCCCTAGGCCTGACATCAAATCACTGCCAAAGCATTGCCAGATTACAGGGCTTATATAGGGAACCTCTATATTTATTTTTAAAACTTATCAGACTCAGTTTTAAGTTTTCTATATGCAGTGGGGCACGTTCCCAGTCCCAAACAGAAGGTGAAGGTTAAATTCTACCTGAGAGATTTCAGGTTTTCATTATTTGACCATATCAGGAAACAATGAACAAACCAACACTGACATAAAGTCGACTGAGAATACAAGGAAAAGGCATTTAATGTTCATGTTTAATTATTTAACTGTATGAAATAATTAATGGTCGATTTCCTTCAGAACAAGATTTTTTAAAATGATTACGACAAGCAAATTTCAAAGTTTCTTGCTAAAACTTTCACAAACTTTTGAATATATACAGCATTTCAAAGTTTAGACTTAAGCGTGATGCCCAAACACTAATAAAAATTTGGTAAGAATGGCACTTGCCCTATTGGACTAGTAAAATTTTCAGTGATATATATTTATCCATTTTTATCTCAGTTATTTTATCTCAGTTATTATTAAAACAAGAGGCCCATGGGCCACAATGTTCACCTGACTCATAACAGGCCTGCTGTTCTTCTTCATCAGGTTTGTTTCATATATTATCCTATGTAAAACTTTGACCACATATTGTGGCCCCATCTACCACCAGGGATCATGATTTGAACAAATCTGAATCTACACTACCTGATGATGCTTCCCTATAATACTAAATATGACAAATCACGTCTTTGGTGTTCTTGAGAAGAAGATATTTTTTAAAAAATTCCTATGTATTCCTATGTATAACTTTGCTCGTCCTTTGTGGCCCCACCCAACCCCTCGGAGGTCATGATTTGAACAAACTTGAATCTACATTACTTGAGGATAATTCCACATAAGTTTCATTTTTCCTGGCCTAGTGGTTCTTGAGAAGAAGATTTTTAAAAAATGCAATTAATTTTTCACTAGTTTGTAATTACCTTCCCTTGAAAGAGGGTGTGGCCCTTCATTTAAACAACTTGAATCCCCTTTACCCAGGAATACTTTGTGCCAAGTTTGGTTGAAATTGGCACAATGGTTCTGGAAAACAAGAGTTTAAAATGACGACAACAACAGACAACAGACAAATTTCAATCAGAAAAGCTCACTTGAGCCTTTGGCTCAGGTGAGCTAACAAGGTGTGACTGATATCAATAATGTTCCCATCTATAAATATATATATTTTTTAAATGAAGTAAATTAGATGAATTAAACTTTTTTTCTCTATACTTTACTGAGAGAAAAATGAAGAATTAAAATTCTTTGTCATTAAACAAAATTACTGAATATTCCATTCATGTACATAGAAAAGAATTACATTGTATAATTTTGATTATTCATTTAAATTACTGACATTATTTACTTATTGAACTCTGAAGAAGGATACAAATGTTGTTTTTATGATTATGCTTTATTTTACATGTTTAAGAATCTTTCATTTTATTTCACAGGAAAAAATCCAATTAGAGTCGATTACTACATGTACTAATCGATTACTGTACACAGGGTTATTTTCAACCCCATGTTTTTTTTTTTTGCCCTTTCACACATGTAAACAACTTTGCCCCGTTTGTAAATGAATTGCTCAGTCACAGTTCTGTATAAGAAATAATACATGTTCTTTGAATTCGCCTTGTTTTAAATTTGCCTGTGAGTAGGGCAAAAAGGGAGAAAATAAAATGGTGGCAGAAATTTCCCTGCATACAGTATGTGAATCCAATTATAACCAATGGTCAATTATCATTTTTCTCCAATTTCTCCTCATTAGCCTGCAGAATTTTTTGAAACCAGGTCCATTTTTAAAGCTAAAAAGCAAGAATTTCAACAAGAGGCCCATGGGCCACATCGCTCACCTGAATAACTTTGGTCATGCTGTTCTTTACCAGATTTCCCCTTGAAATACCTATTGTGGCCCCGCCCTACTCCCGGGGGTCATGATTTGAACAATTAGAATCTACACTACCCCAGGACGCTTCCACATAAGTTTCAGCTTTTCTGGCCCAGTGGTTCTTGAGAAGAAGATTTTAAAAGATTTTTCCTATATATTTCAATGTAAAACTTCGATTCCCTATTGTGGCCCCGCCCTACCCCCAGGGGTCATGATTTTAACAATTTAGAATCTACACTACTCCAGGATGCTTCCACATAAGTTTCAGTTTTTCTGGCACAGTGGTTCTTGAGAAGAAGATTTTTAAAGAATTTTCCTATATATTTCAATGTAAAACTTGGATTCCCTATTATGACCCCGCCCTACCCCTGGGGGTCATGATTTTAACAATTTAGAATCTACACTACCTCAGGATGCTTCCACATAAGTTTCAGCTTTTCTGGCCCAGTGGTTCTTGAGAAGAAGATTTTTTAATGACCCCACCCTTTTTTTGTCTTTTCTTGAATATCTCCCCTTGTAAGGGGACTTGGTCCTTTATTTCAATAATTTAAACTCCCCTTCATCCAAGGATACTTTGTACCAAGTTTGGTTAAAATTGGCCCAGTGGTTCTTGAGAAGAAGTTGAAAATGTGAAAAGTTTACAGACGGATGGACGGACAAACAGACAGACGGACGGACGGACGACGGACAACGGGTGATCAGAAAAGCTCACTTGAGCTTTCACCTCAGGTAAGCTAAAAAATAAAAATTGTATGACTACATTGGTCGTAAAAATCCTTCATCTAATCCATTAAGCGGTAATACATGACTTATTTATTTAAAAAAAATGATTTTTTTTAATCTGAATTTTCTCCCTTCCCCTGTTCACGCAAAAGTTATATAACCAGACAAAATAGATTATTAATAAAAACTATTTCAAAGACTGAAATGAGGGTTATCTTTATTTCATCCACCCGACCAGTCGGTCTTAGATCACAAACATTTTACATGACCGGACCACTCATTTACTAGACATGCAGGGTTGGTCAAATGAGCCTTAGTGTCAAACCTTGATTTTGGTGCCGTTGGCAACCCCTGGACTTGCAGGAAAAATTCAAGAACTTTGGTGGTGTCTTTGAGGGCGAAAAAAATTTAAGGAGGGCAAAAACAATTTAAGGAGGGCAAATTGTAGTGGTTTGGGCTGTGGATATCAGCCTTGATAGCTCGGTTGGTAGAGCACTTGACTAGTGATGAAGGGGTCCCGGGTTCATTTCCCTAGAATTTTGAAAAAAAATGACAATTTCTTAATATGAAATTTAATTTTTGCATACTTTACGACCAAAATGGTCCAAAAAATATACACCAACCAGACATCATTTTTGTTTGTTTTTCGTCATGATCTGTCCTTTAGAAAAGGTCAGAATTTTTGGAAAAGTCCAACGAAGCCGAAAGGGGGGAGGGGTTATACAAAAGTACCTTAGTTCTAACGTCTGACGGTCTCTGCTAGAAAATCCTTTTTAAAGCAAAAACGGTTATAAAGTTAAAACAAACATTTCATTGCACCAGAATATAACATACATTAATGATTTATTTCAATTTTTCGAACTGAATGCATCCAGCGAGGATCAAGCAACATCATACGTATATATTGTGGCCACTCTAGATCACATTCAATTAAACAATACATACTCTTGCTTCTTACCTAACACTTACTGACATCCTCGGTGATTAATTCCTGACATGACGCATTTTAATTACATGAATAAATTTGCATTCTGGCGGTTCTATATTTACTTCCGCTTGTGACCGTCTCGCTCAAGGCAGGTAACCATGTAATAACTTTTTAATACCCTGCCTGCATCTACTGGTCCCATGGTGTAATGGTTAGCACTCTGGACTTTGAATCCAGCGATCCGAGTTCAAATCTCGGTGGGACCTCACATTTTTTTTTCTTTCTCTCTTTTAAATTCTGTACGAGCAAGAATTCACTAATGAAACTTTTTACAAAGAAAAAAAATACAGTAAACATACAAATTTTATATGGCATAAAACTGCAAATGGCGTCTTTCAACATATAGGCCCTATCATAGACATAGACCTAAAGCTTTGCCTTAGGTCTATGATCTATACTAACTAAAATCATCATTAATTGTTAAACACACTTTAATTTGGAACAGAGGAAATTAATGAAGTTAGAGCATATGGCCTGGGCACTATTTGCAAATTAAGATTAATGGCTCATTAAAAATTAATATCAGATAAATTTATCACAAAACAGTGCCCATCGTCTCCACTTCATTTTTAAAATTAAAAAAAAAATATTCTTTATTTTTAGTTGAAATTTCAGAGTAAAGATTTTAGAACACTCCATTTTTGTCTGAAGTACTGCAGTAAAAGCAGAGTCCCTCTGTATGTCTACCTGTCTCTCAGTGACGCAATACCTTAAACACATTTCAATCCGTAAATTTCAAGTTTCTACATAGTGTAACTTTAAGACAAATGTATATATAGATGATAAAATGATGAGAATATTTTGGGAGAAAAATCTTTAAAATTTTCCTTGAAAAAAAAAACACCAGGGCAAAGGTGGATGGGGTAAGCATTGTGATACATGTGCCTCTTCCCTGTACATGTATTTATCTTATAAACAGAAAGCTAGCTTTAGATAAACATAAACACCTGCAGGTGCACGTGCATTTTTTGGCTTTCTATAGGAAATGCAGCAGCTCTGAATTCAACTAAGTTCCCGTCACTTTATAAGTAGACAACGTACCCTTGACCTTTAAACATGACCTTAAGGAGAGACAAAATCATTAAAAAAAAAAAGAAAGAAAAAAAAACAGAAATAGCCATGAACAATAACAAACCTAACTTTGAATCCATCCTATCTAAGGTTCTCGAGTTAAAGTGAAAACATCATTTCACTATCTTATTGTCCGATTTTATTTTTATATTGTCCAGTGAGTTCATTACCTTTGTGATTTGACCTATTGTCGGGATCGTAATATTGCCAAGTGTTCTGAGTAAAAAAAAAAAATCATAAAAGACATAAAATTCCGAATTGAGTGGTACAGGTTTCTTTCGAAGAGAGGACATATTAAATCCTGCGATGTCATTTAATCCATTTTGGAAAAATCGGATCAGATGGCAGGGG